CAAAGACATGGATTTTGTATTTAAGACAGACATGCAGGTGACAAGCATTGTGTAGGCAACTCTGAATAGATCAAATTATATTCTCAATTCACACAAGTGTTACTGAGGAATGACCTGATAATCGATGAATCATTACCGACTTACTTAATCATTAGTTGTGCCAGGCAGGTTCAGAAAACACAATAGCTTGTATAATATGTGTCAGATTAGATTATAGAGTCATAAATTATTATTTTGTTGATATCGTCATCCACATTTGGCATCTGTGGTCCCTTTAAAATGTCTCATGTTAAAAGACGCCATTGGCTGTTTAAATCTACAAATTTGGTGATGATAACATCAACGGACATACATTTTAAAATCATGGATAAATGTAATGCTCAGGCCATTAATGATGAACTGATGAAAGGAGACAGAACAAGAATGGACGGTAATTCAGACATGACGTTCTGAATTTCATGGCAGTCTGTTCAATCGTAATAAAATGGTATTTTACTTGAAACAAATGTAAACCTCATGGTGGCAGTGAAAAAGAAAAGTCAGGGGATCACCGGAGTCATTTGGATGCATCCTCTCAGGGATCTCCAACAAGTAGCATTCAGTAATAATTCTGTGATGAAGCCTCAAGAGATTCACGAGATCTCAGTCATCAGAAAAAGGCCAAATGGTCATTGTAGCGTATTGAAAGCTCCAGCTGCTCGAACAAAGCCCGGAGGTCATGCAGCTGGCTTCCACTCACCTTATAATTAGTTGTCTAAAGCAGAATGACATGGATTACCATGTTTCACATTGCAACCATTAATTAACTGAGCAACTGCATAGGGATCTTTGTTCATACTGTACATGGACCTGTTTGACTGAAGTCTGAGGATGTTGTGAGTAAATGTTTAGAATGACCAGCAGTATAGAAGTAAATCTTAACATAAATTAAAACAAAATTTAATTGAAAAAAGCACCCGCTATGCCTGCTGAAAAAAAGAGAGGGGAAATCCACTTATTGCTGCAGAATTTTTTTTTAAGATTTACTCACAGCGAAATAGATGTACATTTAGCAAGATAATTCACTGACTGGAGGTGGGAATTACCATAATTGTCTCTCCTTCAACTTTAATGTGTGCAGTCGAGGCACAATGTTCCAAACAAACCATTAAGTTTAGACACAACCTGTGAAAAACACCATTTGAAAGAGTTTACAATGCTGTCGCATGCCATAATCAGCGAGGCAAGAAATGAAAGTCATAGTGGTGAAAACAAAGACATCAATGCCTCACTGTTTTAGAATAAACCGAGCCACGCTGAATATCAAGTTAGAGCTATCTAAAGTGTTTCATTTCCGGTTTTCTGGTCTGCTGAATGTTGCTCTGATCCTCTGTGTTATAACCATTTACATATCAATGTCCTGCTATTCTGTTTGTCTCTTTATTTGCTTAAAACAGGATGTATGGTCTTTTCTCTCTTTAACACCCTCAAGTGTTTTCAACCTAAAACCTGCACATAAACCACAACAGAGAAAGCAATGATGCATGCAAATCAAATGTGTGTGTGTATTTCATGGAGACACAATAAACCATAGCCCCATTCATCTCTTTGATGGTCCATGTAATGTTTACAATAGCAACAGTGTAGAGAAGCAGAATCTTCAGCCAAATAGTCCCTCATGTTGTAGTTTATGTATTTTGGCTCAAAAGTGCCACAGATCCATGTTTTTAATCAGCTTGAGAAAACAAAGACTAGATGGATCAAAGCTTTTATAACAAAGAATTCATATATTGGAATTCAAAAGCTGATTAGGAATGTTTCCAAAATGAAAGTTAGAGAGGCATGAGAGGGACTGACCATCTTCCTTGTGCTTCAACTGCCCAAATAGGCCGGTTTTTAGTGTATTTGGACCCTAACTGTCACAAGTTATATCCGGGGGGGCCATGAGATTATTTACAGAATAGGAAAAACCATTTCTCAAAAAACTTTCCTCAAGTCATTTTCTGCTTTTTCTTGTTATTTACTGGATAATTTAAAGTATCTCATGCCTCTTAAAAACCATTCAAACAAAACAGGAAAACAAGTCACAACTGGTTGACATATGCAACCAGTAAAGGGGGGGTCTCAAAAGTAGACATTGCTTTGTTTTAAGGGTTCACAAGAGGAATCAAAGGGACTGTACAAAGGTAAATCTAAATTGTTTTAAAAAGAGAAGATGTGTAGTCCTCTGCAGTCGAACATAATGTCTCAGCCGATGTGACTATTATATATATACTATCTAGTATATATTTTTTAATATTAGACACATTACAAGTACACTGTGGTTCTCCTTTATCTGCCATTATTCCACTGTTGCTTAGGCTGGCAACAGTGGAGATGCTTGCACAGTGTAACTAGCAATAAATACGCACACTCTCTCACACTCATACGCATTAAAATCTCCCCTGCTGAGTCTGCCTGATTTGTCATTCTCCTCTCCCACGCGAGTGAAAGGACCTCGTGACGACATGTGTCATCCATTACAGAACATTTTGTTGAGCTGCTTTTCTCTTTTCTATGGCAACCTGCAATTATATTAGCATGGTCTGAGAAGTCGATCCGCACTGCCAGCCACACATTAAAGGCAATGAAAAGCTTTTGAACAGACTTGTCAGGAACAAATTGGAGGTTTGGGCACTGATGAACAGCGAACTAAAAAAAAGCCTTAGAAAGAGCATTTCAACATCATGCGAGTCTATGCGTTACATATTAACTCGTTTTATCATTCTCAAATGAGTCCTGGGAGAATCAGGTTAGCATGACCAGTATGTATTCGCTTTTTCAATGACCAAATGAGATCGCATTCAAGGCAGCTCATCTCACATGGTAGTGATATTTAGTTGGTTGGTGCTCATGCCTCATAGAATTAATGACACATTCCTCACAAACCATGCTACATCCCGCCAACTGACTGGCATTTCTCCACATGCATTTGTTTTTAAGTGCAAAAAAGAGGGCGAGTGCTCGTAGCTGAGAATTTTCTTTTTGTTCATCTCACCATCTGCCATTGCGAGAAAACATTAGTTCCTTCTGTGCTGGAGGATCAGCAGCCCTTCTCCTCCTCCGTCATTCATTTTGTGCCATAAAGCAATCCAGCGGACCCGCTGTGAAATGTTAACTCGGTAGCACACAAAATGTAGCTGAAAGGCCGGTTGAAGCTGCCAATCGTCTTGGCAGTGATCTCTTTGTTTGTGGTAATTATGTTAGTTTATCAAAATCAACGATGGTAGTGAATTGTCAATGTCAAAATGCTACACACACAGGACTTAAAATAGATGACGCTGACTGCAGAATGTCTTGTAAAACAGGTTCAGCACCAACTGAAGGCAGTGATGTCCTGCAGTGAGGAACAAACTCGAACAAAATTGATGGACGGATGAATCTCTGCCGGCAAATACGGGTGTCTTCCCCCACTGCTGCGAGAAATCCAATGTTCTCTTTTTTTCAAACAAAAAAATCTAAATTCACACAGCAGGAAGAGCAAATTAACTCAAATGTGCCCGGTGGGGTTTAAACAAGCCTATGTTTACATTCAGTATAACTCACCAAAGGTTGAGCGTTGAATGCTTCCCTTGAGAATTAAACATTTGTAGAGCTGATTAGTTCTAAATATGTTAAGTCTTGCATTGTTTAGATTTATCTGAAGGCCTAAACTAGCAGTTTTCTTCCTCACTGTCTTTGTCGGTGCATCGTTACTTTTCTTTGAGTGTTGCTGCCGACAACTGTTGATCAGCAGAATTGCGTGAAATAGGTGGGATGAACGCGCATTAGCTCTTGACAACATAGCGCTCAAAATTGGGGAAAACACAGAAGGAACGGAATGAGTCTTTATGAAAAGTAATGAATTCAAAATTCAGAGCATATCTATGATTGGATGGATTTCCTTCACATGGCTCTTATCATGGCAACGGCTGAGCTAGCAGCTAGCGTAGCTAACAGCATACACAGTGCAAACACTGGCAAAAACACTTTTTACCAGGAAGGGAACTTGAGGGAACTTTGATTCTCTGTTACAATCATTTAAAAGCAAAAGCAGCATGTACAAGTATACCTTCAGTATTTCGTGTAGCACGGTGTTAACGCTAGTTAACAATGTGCTAATGTTTTCTGCTAATGTTAGCTCCACAGGTTTTTACATAAAAACGCAAGGTTTTAGAAATGTATATTTCCTTCCACCCTCTCCAGCTAACGAGTATCACCATACACAATGTTTAACCATGAGTAGCTCCAAATACAAACAAACAGCCTGTAAAATGAAGACGAAAATAAATGAAATGATTGCATGAGAGTCTTCAGAGCAATTTAGTTTTTGAATTCATCATCTGAATTCGTGAGCACTTGGATGACTTCAAATGACCTCCTGGTCATTTCAAACAGAGGAATCCTGGCAACGTACGTAAATTCAGATGAAAGGTTTTTTTCAGTGATTCAATTTCACTGTTTGGTATTAATTTGCTCATTAAAAAATAACCTACTATCCAGTTAATTAGTCCATATCAAATACAACAATATATAATTCAAAGAACCCTCCTCTACCCAACCCCAGTCCACTACACCTAGCTCGCTTTAATGTGAATATGTGAAATAACCATGAATCATATTCTGTTCTCTGGATCAAGAGGTCATTTAATAGCAAGAAGGTTGCTGGCTTGGCCCTTTGACACTGACAGACACTTACATTATGGTACTCACCATCAATGTCACTGTGTCCTTCAAACCCTAAATTGATTATTTTATGCTGTGACCACAATGGAGACAATGTCTGTGGAGACATTTCAGAAAAAAAACCAAGATCTAGAAAAATCTTTCTCTGTTTTTATTCTGCTCTCACACCGTTGTAATTATCATCACTATGTTAGACTGCATTTGTTTTCGCTGCCTTGTCTGAAGTTCATACAGAATTGGAAAGCAAAAACACTCGGAGCCACTGAAAGATGCAGCTGAGTGTTTTCCATGGAAACAAGACTCACATCATTGTCTTACTTGCTATCATGCTGCACACATAGCCCACAGATTGCTGAGTGCAGCTTAGGATTTTTTGAATTTCTCTCAATGGGAGCATTTTCATTGATGTCCTTGTAGCCAGAAACTGTGTTAAAATGTTCCGGGAACAGCACAAGACATGCGTCACTACCCTTCATCCAATCAGGCGTTTTCATGGATTCTTTTCTTTTTATACATTTTGATCAGGGGCGAATGTCTTCAAGTCAGTTATTGTGGTGTTTCCTGTCTTCTGTTTTGCTCTCTGAGAATATCCGCATCATGGCAGGGCTAAGTACTTTTTATGACTCGTTGATTTATGGCCAACCCATCAAAAGGCCTAGCTGGGTGATCAATCACTCAAAACAGTATCCTGCATATAGCTGGAAATTGTCTAGCCTGGATCCAGCTGCAGTTTAAGAAACTGAATAGGGGGGGGGGGGGCATTTAAAAGAAGGGTCTCTTTGAAGTCATTTGATTGACTTTCCAATAAGAACAGTAACAGTTTCTTCATAGAGAGACTCTGCCTGGCATGGATCAATCCTATTGAGATTTAATTAAAGCAGCTCTTAGTATTCGGACTGTTGTTTATTTGCAGATAAAATGTAATGGATTCTTGCTTTGAGCCCATCGATGCCCTGAGGCGTAAACAGGATTGCCAGCGGCCACACAGGCCCCTACAAATCCCATCCATGGTAACATCACTGCATGTTGGTCTAAAATGCCACAGTACAGCTTGACTAACCAGCATATTGGGATTCTTGTGGAACACATGCCATAATTCAGATGTTAAACTTTAGTGGAGATGTGAGTCACACACATCATGGAGCCGCCTCAGTGCCTCAGAAATTGCACCCAGCAGGGAACCGGACCTAATGCCTTCTGGAGCGTCTGAGAGGCGCAGGCGCAAATGTCAGAGTTTTATGAATAGTTTGTTTTCTAGAACAAAGTCCCACGCATGTGACGCGAAGACATGCAGATGGTTTTCCCTTTCAGCCCAACATCCCAGTGTTGAGACTTGTTTTTAAAACATTGCTCCTCCTCCAGCTGCGTTTGTAGACTAAACTGTTGTCTCACTTTGTTGTATCTGTGTCTGACGAGGTGCGAATCCCAAAGGAACCTCCTCCTCCTCCTCCTCCTCCGCCTCCTCCTCCACATCATCGTGGTGCCGCAGCAGCAGCCAACGCGGTGCTGTGTGCGTCCTGCAGCAGCAGCAACAACAACAGCAACAGCAGCAGAAACGGCACCTGTCTGTCGTTTTTTCTGGACGAGCTGATAACCATTTCAGGAGTAAATCAAGGTATTCTCCGAAATAATTCTCGGCGGGGATCCGTAAATACCGATGGCTGTGTATATATTTGCGCCTCTGAAAATTACGCATCGGTAAGTTCCTCTGACTTGTTTTGCACGCCTGGTGCTGCGCGCTTTGACTCATATCTTTGACTTTTGCTGCGGCTGATCAATTAAGCGGGCTGTCACCGAGCCCGATGCTAAATGATAAAGTAAACATATATTTCTTCTTAAATGCCAGTAGGCACGCTGGAGATGCATTTCGTGTGAGAGAGTGTTCTGTATAGGCGCTTTTCTTGCTGATGTTTTTTTTTTCATGTGCAAAGCGAAGGTCACCCACATGCATTGATGAATTAAACGTTGACGAATGAGAGGATGGGGGAAAGGCATGGGCAAAATAAGCCTATTGATTCTGCACCACCAAGGGGGGAAACATTTGTCACTGATTGATTGTAATTAACACTGTTGCATTGTTCTCCCACAAACTGTTTGTCATTTTGCAAGCTCTAATCTAAATAATAACAAAATAGCCTAACTCTAAATATGAATGGTTCTTGTAATGCAGCCTTCATGGCCTGTGTGATTACGGAACAGGAACATGAATTGAACGTATGAACAAAACTGCCAATAACTGTATGATTTTGATTGGCATACTGACAGACATGCAATCCCTTTTTACAGGCATTAACATACTTGCATCTGGGTTAATTGCAAGCATCCTCCTGTCTAACAGGGCTCGTTTTAAAGTGAAAATGAATTATTAATGCACCACCATGTTCAAAGGAATTCAACTCACATGAGGAGGAGGCTGATGTGTGCAGACATATCTTTAAAAATCCCTTTACAATATATGAATAAATAAGGAGAGCTTTTCCTTTTGTTTTTCCTGTGTATCTGCATCTGTAGACACACACAGCTTGTGCGCACACACACACACACACACACCCACACACTTACACAACCTTGCTTTGCCACTGTTAGTGGATGTGGTTCCCATTCTTCCCATCAAGGGTTGGAGTCTGTTTTGGGGTGTTCCCTGTATAGTGTTTGGTCACATTCAGTGCCTTACAGTTGGTTCAGCTATTATTTATGATTAGAAATCCTCATGATGGATACTGTCTTGTATTAAGAACTACTGGGTAAAATACACAATACTGTTCTTTCTGTAAACCCACACATCTTCACTTCCTCCATGTTCTAGGTACTGCTGGTACTGGACATTATTTGTTTGTTTTTTCCTTAAATTTGCATCCCTTTAAAGCTCCACATAATTCCATCCCTTGCTGAGCACAGCAAAGACTCTCCTGCCTCCTTGCTCTTAGGATAGTTTTGATAGTGGGCCCCTTCTGTTGTTTCCTGCACCACTGCTTCCTCAATACCAACACATTTTTACTTAATTTGGGGCCTCCAGACACATGGCTGCTGTGACATTTTGGGTTAGATGGAAATAAATGGAGCCAATTGGCACCATGTCTGACAAGTTCCTCTCTCCGTCCTTCTGTCTGTCTGAATGCGTGTGTTTTTCTGTTTAAACGTGCATCACGACAGTTTGATTTCAGTTATCCCTCCTCTAAATCTCAGGGTCTTTCCTCCGAGCACGGTCTGTCCTATTACTTGATAAAGCATCCGAGAGATGCTTTGGAGGTAATTGGATTCGGTGCTAGAGGGAAGGGACACAGAGAGGAATGTGTCTGTGTGTGCATGAATTAGCTTAGCTAGCTTAGATGTGTGTGTGCCTTGCTGTTTCAGTGGTTGTGTGTGTGTGTGTGTGCGTGTGTGTGTGTGTGTGTGTGTGTGAGCTGTGTCTCTGCTGGTGCTGGCCAGTGTGCTTTGTGTTTGCAGTGAATCATTGTGTTTTCAGGAAGCTGTGTGGATGAGTAAGACATGAAAGGAGGGGTTTGGGAGGCGGGGTTTAAAGGTCTGACCCGATGCTTATAAATTTGATTGAAGGAAATTTATTTGATCCTTCCAAATGTCTTACCTTTGGTAATCAACTTGTTCTTCATAAATCCATGCTTTTCCTCAAGGATTCTGCTCTAATTTAGAGCGCAGGTGATGACACATCCTTTGTGGTTGTATATAACCTCAGTGAAAAAAACATCAAATGCTTCCTCTGTGATTTGATCCAGGGGGTTTATATGAGTGTATCATTCTGTTGTGATAAGATATGAAGTGTTGCGAAAGAAGTGTGTTTGCGTGTGTGTGCGTTGAGGACAATGCAGTAAAAGTATTTGTTGTATTTTGTCATCTTTTAATCGTATCTTCTTGATTGATTGTTTGTCTATAAAACATCAGAAAATAGTGAAAAATGCTCATCGCTATTTCCAATATCCCAAGTTAATCATTAAATTGCTTATTTTGTCCAACTTACATCCCCAAACCTCAAGATACTCATTTTACAATCAGATAAGACAAAGAAAAGCAGCAGATCATTACAACTCCAACATCAAATAGTTCATCTGTTAGTCGACTAATCAATCGACCGCCTTCTTTTGACCGCAACTGACTGTGGCCTCTATTTCTTCAGTTTTATCAGTTGAATAATCTTTGAAATGATGAAATATAATGTAACTAAGTCGACAAATTGTCTTGTTCAACAAATTAGATGATTTGGGCGTCTGTGGTTTCCAGATGTAAACGTCTCGTTCATTTTTCTTGTAGACATAAAACTAAACGGTACGAAAGATTCATATCTCTTGTGCCAATCAGTGATCGCTGCTGACGACGAGTGGAAGCTAAAGAAAGCTGATTTTACAACCTGCAGTTTAAATTAATTCAGTTTGAAGTTCTGGGTCAATTTTGGATGAATTCAGCAACTAGGAAGCTCTTTGAATTCGCTACTGCTCTGATTCGTATCTGCATGTGAATGGCTTCTTCTCCATAGCAACAGCAGCCGAGGCTCATGGGTATTGAAGCATTTTAAGCCAACTCCTTGCCATAACTACGGACAAAACACAATTTCTCAGAAACATATGTAAAAGTATAAAAAATTGTGGCTATTACATGAACCTGTGGGATGGTGACGTTATCTGGGAGAGTCCTGTGTCTCTGTGTTGAATTATAGCAAGGATATCACTTTAAGAAAAACACTTTTTAAAAACTGAAAGATTTTTACTGCTAAGTCTTAGAAATAAAAAAAATTGTCAATACTCAAGTTTCCAAAACACATAAAAATATCAAATAATAGTAAAGACTCTCAAAATGTTATATACCAACATATTATTCTATCACATATCTGCGCATTAGTTTTCTTATTAATAGAACACAATGATACTGATGCAGTCACCTAACGTCTTTCAGAACCTTTTTCCCTCTGTGTGTTGTATTTCAGAGCCCTTGATGCAAGGCTGTGGTGACGCTGAGAGGAGCAATTTCAGTGCATCCCAGTGAACACACACCCAGACACACACACACACACACACACACACACATATATTGTGGAGCCTTTTGGATACCAGCCCTCCACAGGAGACAATGAGAGGCTACCTGCTGACTGCAATCTTTCTGCTGCCCTTGGTGAGTAGTTTCTGTGCATGTGTCTACAGTACGGGGGAGACTGGGGGCAAATGCAACACAATCCATTCCACCAATCAGAAACAAGCTAAAGTGATGACACTTGCTCTCTACATGCTCAGTAGGATTCTCTCAGCAGGATCATTTCACTCCCGCAGAAGTTTCTAACTAAAAACAGATTTAGAGGTATGAATGTTATTTTTTGGTATTTAACAGTATTTTTTTCTTCTGCTGCATTAAAGTTTACAAGTCTGTGAATTTAAGCTTACATCAATATTATCTCTGGCTTATTGGTTACAAATGAACAATGAACAACCGATGGTAAAATGTGTGTTGCTAGCTAGCATACGAGATTTTATGCTGCAAGATTGGTGGCAATTGTGAAACTGTGTCCCAACTGCCTCCAAGCCACATGGCCCCTATGTAAGGACCTGGAAATTAACATATTTCACTACATTTAAATGTTAAATTACATTTAAAAAGGGTGTTTTAAAAATAATTAGTTTGTTGTAGTATAGCAGCTCATCAATAAACACACTTTTTCGACAAATTAATGTGTTTTATATGTATTAAAACAATATATATTGTTAGTAAAGTGTAAATATCATATATTTCTATATATTATACATATGAGGTGCTTTTATTTGAGATACAGTGTGTTAAAGAACAGATTCACACAGAAACTAAATGTCTTCTTACCTGTTATTTATCAAGCTAGATTGTTTTGGTGTGACTCGCCTAGTTTTTGGAGATATTGCCCGTAGAGATGTCTGCCTTCTCTCCAATAAAATGGGACTATATGACACTCGGCTTGTCGTGCTCAAAGCGCCAAAAAAATACTTTTGAAAAACAGCAATGTCTCTTCCCAGAAATAATGACCCGGTTACTCAAGACAATCCACAGACCTTGTTGTGAGCAGACGTGAAACTTTAGGAGCATACAAGAGTGTGCAGCCTATTCTTTCTCATCTTCACATTTGGTTTATTTTCATACATGTACTCTGGTGGGCGTGTGCTTGCGTGTAGGCGCTGGAAGCGTGGAAATCACCATATGCTGCATCAGCACATCAGCATAAGTTACATGTCCTGGATCAGCTCTGCGCAAAGACAACTGGCCGCCTGTTAGAACAATATCAGATGGCCCCGCTGTCCTGAGAGCTGTTACTGCATCCATCTGCTGTGACTCACTTTTATCAGCCATCTCATTGAAATAAATAGCAAAATGGAAGAGTTGTGCAAGATGTGTGGGAGGAATTTTATACAGCACACTGATGCAGCACAGCAGCAGTTTCCCTGGTGAAGCTTCACAGATACACACAGTGTTTTTGGTTTATGTGACAATAAATGTAACTTTATTTGACGATGACATCCTAGGTATCATCCTCTATCTATGACTTTGATGATGATTTGTACTGGTACCAGTCTAATGATGGTCACTGGGGAGACTATAATTAATTCACAATGTGACCTTGTAGTAACAAACATCTCTCTAACCTTTAAGTTAACACTGCTCCCAAACATGTGTGACGGGTTCCTCCAGCTGACATCTTCGCACAGTGCAGTGTCAAGCTGACCTTCAGCGGCTGATGTGGCAGACACGTCTGTTCTGATGTACTTATTGTGCGTCAAAGCGGTCTGTACGCTGGGCAAGTGGTCTGCAATGTCAAATTTTAGTTTTATTATCTGTGCTGCGCGGTGCTGTGGGAGCTACTCACTTATCTGGTCCTCGAAAATAGCCTTGGGGAGGTTTCCGTTCAGAGGCTCTGCATCCTCCAAATGGACGGTTTATCTGGACAGACATCTGTGCGATGGAGAGGAGAGGAGTGACTGGGAAAGCCAAATTAAAAACGCACTTAAAAATAAAACGAATTGATCTGTCCCCTATGCAATGTAGTCATTGTCCTGATTTAGCACTCCTCAGTTAACCTGGATTAGATGGCACCAGCTAAAGGTTACTACAGGTTGCACCATTAAAACTTAGAGGAATATCTATTATCCATGATCTTTTTTGAATTGTGCGGTTCGAATTAGAAGCTTGATACCACTCTCATATCTGTATGTTAAATATGAAGCTACACCCAGGAGACGCTTAGACTAGCTAAGCACAAATACTGGAAACAGAACAGCTCGTCTGGCTGAGACTAAAGAAAACAAAATCTGCCAACTAGCACCTGTAAGGCTCACTAATTAAAAAGTTGTTTCTTTGTACAAGAAGTGTAAAAATAACAATTGGCTGTTTTATGAGTGGTTGTGTGCAGGATTGTTTCTTGGTTGGGAGCAATAACTTCCTGGAGTCTTAGAAATAGTCACAGCACATAACCCCTTCATAAAACTACAAACGTCAGCAGGAGCTACAGCTGCTCACTCTTCAGGAATAAGTGTGTGTGTGTGCGTGTGCGTGTGAGTGGTAGATGGAGGTGTGTAAAAGCGGGCATGTCTATGCCATAGGATTAGCCAATAAAAACAGCAGTAAATATTGATTGTTATTATAGTATAGCAGGACAAACATAACCTGAAATACAGGATTCTACATTAATACATTAGTGTAGAGCACATTTAATACTGTCACCTTACTGGCCTGTCTGCACTCATACCAAACAGATATTAGTCATCTGCATCCAACTATTTGTTGTTTCTGGAAAGCCTTGCCTACAGTATGAATTGGCTCCTAGCTGGTAACCTGCGGCTTTGCAACACGAATGCTTGCTACGGGTACAAAGAGATTTTTTTCTTTCAAGCAATGCCAGTGTGGGTTTCATTAAATAATATATCAAACCCTATTGACAACATGAAAAAGTGACTTCTTTAATCTCCTTTTTTTCGTGTTTGTTTTTGTTTAGCCAACATGGTTTCTGACCAGCGTCCAGTGTTTGACAAATGTTGTCTGGAAATGGAATCATTCATGCAGTGATTTAAAATAGAGAAAGGAAGTGAGTCCTAGGACATATTCTCTGTCGCTCGATGCTCTATCTTATCGAGGCAGCGAGGCCTGGAGTGAATTCATATTAGAGGGCCGAGAGATAGAGTGATGAGTCAGCCATGGCTCAGCGGGCGGGGACATATTGCACCTATCAGTTCACTGCGAGAGGGAAGGAGGGAGGTTGCATGAAAGCTAAAGGTGCAAAAACAGAGATTGGCTTTAAGAGAGCGAGAGGAAGAGTTCTGGAGAAGTTGATAGACATGCAGTAACTCTACTACCTCCGGGTAATTTCTTTCCCTCACTACACCTACTCCACTGTATTTCAAAGAGAGGCAGAATATGGGGGTGGTATACAAGTTTCAGAGGGATTTGGTGTGATTGCTCTAAAGTGTATGTAAATGAGCAAATCTCTGGAGAACCACAGTTTGGAACCTCCTCTAACAAAATCACTGATCCACCACCAGCTTGTAAACTCAGGAAGCAAAGAAGGAGAAATATAGAACAAAATGTTTTTTTTAAGAACACAGACCCAAAATATCACTCTGTAGGAGGATGAGTCATAAAAAATAGTTTTACATTTTAAAGGAAGAGGCTACTCCTGAATGCTTTGTCAAATATTTAACATACACCGGCAGGAAACAATTAATACAGGGACACGGGATAAGTTGGTCTTTTTCTCTCTGTATTAATTTGGGGACAACACTTTGACATATTATGTTGTTACATTGAACATGTCAGCAAACAGTTACTGATTTACACATCCAGCAGATACAGAGCAACATTGGCATTTATTTGCACTCCTATTTCTGACCACTTAACACGTTTTATCGCCTCTCCTTCTAACTCTGTTTGGGGCTCCACCAACTCATGAGGGAGTAATCTGTCTCACTAGATGCTCAATGCTCCACTATGTTCACCAGCTAGTGGCTAACTTTGTGTGGTTTGGTGCTCAGTGGGTTTATCAGAGCTTTTTCACTCAAAACAACTGCCTGCTGCTCCAAACAAGGTAGTTGAGAGCAGTGAGAGTGAACCAAAACAATGAGCACTTTCAGAACACTGTTCTCAGTGGTGCAGTGGTTCAGTACAGTCCATATTTATTGTGACACTGTGTGTGTGTTTTTGTTTATTTTCTCCAGGTGGCCTCAGAGTCCGAGCACTGTATCATCAAGCGTGAACATGAGAAATGCATGGACAGGATCATGCTGCACGACCCCAGCGACGAACTTGAATTAAGTAAGTGAGGATGTGGCCGCGAGTATGCATGTGTGTTCCTCTCCTCGCATTCCTTCTTTGTGCATAATTTGGCAAGAAGCCTCAGGTTTTCATGGCTCTGCCGCTGTGATTTAATTGTGCACATCTTGGGCTGCTCAGAAAAAACATTGCTGCAGATGAAAGTCGTGCATCTCCTGAAAAAAAAATCTAACTTTCCGCGAACGAATGATGAAAACAGGCTCTGTTTTTTTCCATTTTACTATCTGTCATTTTTCTGTTCATCCAATCAGTTATTGAAAAGGTCATAGAGCTTTAAGGATGAAAGAGTGCAGTTTTCTATCATGTTCGTATTACAATACATCACCTTGACAGGGCGCTATAAAGGACAGACCATCTGGTGGTATACAGTTCACAAACCAAATGTCTGCCTGTAATGTCACGCTGAGCTGCTTTCACGTTTCTCACATACTTTTTTTTCAAAAACACAGGAAACTTGGTGTGTGATTCCTGGAAGCAATTATTTTCTTGGCTATGGATTGAGGTTTTCATTAGCAACTACTGCAGTCCTCCCGCTGCTCCAAAGTAGCCCAACAGACTGCATCTCCCAGAGTGCACTGTGACTCATGGTTTTGCTGACAGACACGGAGCGCTTTGAAAAAACATGAAGCATTAAAGATTTAAAGATCTAAGACAACAAGTTAGAAGGGGTTTTTCATCTGCAGATCTTAAAGGTCTGATCTTCAGTCTTCCTGTGTGCTACACAGCAAACTGCATATGCTCTTTTCAGTGTTTTATCTTAGTTTTATTTTTGTTTTTAAATCATTTTTACGTATAAGTCAGTTCACTCTAGAATGTATGGTTGAATCAGACACGCTGTTGCTGTTTTATTCCCGTATTCCTCTACAACTTCTACAGTTTGTTATTGTGCCATTTTCAGACTGTATAATCACACATGTTCGCCTGCATCGAACCTTTCACCGATCCCCGTTTCCTCCTGTCCGTTCTGCTGATAGCAAATCGTTGGTAAGGAAATAAAAAAGCCTGGTCAGCAGAAATCAGTTGAAAAAGTTAAAAAGGGGGGGGGGGGGGGGGGGGAAAAAAAAAAAAAAAGAAAAGAAAAAGAGAAGGGGGGGGGGGGGGGGGACAGGGAAACAATAAATAGGAGAAAAGAGAAAGAGATAGGTGGTGGTGGTCTGCTTTTAGCCCGGTCAGATGATTTATTAAGACCCACTCTTAAAAGCATATTTCTTGATTTATTTGTTATTATACTTTTAATTGAGGTGCTCTGGCCTCAGATTAGTCTGCCGGCCGTGTACAATTGCTACATAATGATTTGCTGTCTGGTGCTGTAATCACTGTGTAGCTGAATTTAGCACACTGCTAAATGAATAGTTGATATAAAATGGCCTCTACACAGTGTTTATTATTTCAAAACTAAATGATCCTCGGTGAACAGTTTCTGGAAAGCAACTCAGAATGTAACAACTGCACATAATCTAAAAATGCATATGTAATAAAATCTCATAATACTCTTCATAGCAACCCTTCTAGTTTTACATGACACAAGTTTAGTCCTTAATTTCAAGCAACTAGACTTTGTCTTTTTGCTCTCGAGGACATTTTCATCAATGAAGCCTCTTGAAAAAACTACGAGATATCCAGTGACCTGGACGAAAGAGAACATAACAAAGACGATGCTGAATTCAAAATACTGGGAGATATTTAGCATGTGAAATATTTTTTCTATTTATTTAATATGGTATTTAACTAGTCTAGCACACATTAAAACCAAGCATATGCATGTGATACGAGCATGCAGAACAGTATCCACAAGAAGAAAGCAATCCTTGCGAAAGAGCATTTCTGCTTCACGTGCTCAAATCATGGATGTACAAAGAGAAGTGGATACCACATTGGAGGCGGGGAAAACTTCACTCTTATGAAAGTTGCACAGTAGCAAAAATGGCTCGACTGCCGGTTGGGAAATAGAGCATAGAACTAAATATTTGAGCAAGCACACTATAGCGTTTCCTCTAGCCTTGCCTCCCAGTAGGTCAGTCTCGTTCACATGAACAGAGGAAGTATAATATTTTTTTTTTTATTCGGAAAAATGATTAAATAACATTTATTTAAGTGTTTTCTACTGGGAAGTTTATTTACCTAAAAAAAAAAAGAAATTATTATTTACTGATGTGTCTTTCCCAATTCAAGTCTCTGGGAAAAGGTCTTTCTGGGCCCTATGGCGTCACGTGATGCATCTGGAAGTAGTCATTTGTAAATGTGTTGGACTGTTGGTCAGACAAAGCAGGACATTTGACGATATCATCTTGGCCTTCAGGAAGTAGTGATGGGTGTTTTTTTTACTATTTTACGAGTTTTTATTGGCAAAACAATTAATTAATTAAGAAAATAACCGACAGAAAGCTCTATTTCGCAGCTAAGTCGCATCTCTATTTCAATTTGGCAGCTCTTTTTTGAAGCATTTGTAGGATTCTCACAAAAGCAAATGGATCACATCCACATGCATATCTTTCCAGGATCTTCATGACATGTCTTTCCTTTCAGACTGCTTAAAGTAAAAATGAATGAAGAGAAATTAGCTCTGATTGGTATTCTGCCACCGTTGCACCTCATGACTCAGAATACAAAAACAAATCTCATTCAGTCGTCAGATAAGATCAGCTTTAATGAGAAAAACAATGAATGTCTGTATGTGTTTGTGTACACGTATTCTGCACTATGCATGTGCAGTATGTATGTGGATGCCATGCTGCATCTTTGCTGCCCGGCGACCATTCAGCGTAGGATTTAGTGTGAGATAGCCAGTGATGCAGACAGAGTGCTTTATTAAGCCGGTTACCTCTGTAGCTCAGTGCTGCTCATTTGGCTCAGATCTGCCCTTTAAAAGGTAATTGGCTTCGTGTCCAGCTCACCAGACAGAACCAAAACAGATTAGCGAGCCAAGCAGAATGTAGAGAAAGGTCTGCAAACACAAACACAAACACACACACAAATGCACGTCCAGGAACACAAACACACAGATGCAGCCATACTCAAAAACACCCCTCAAAATGCATGCGTGTAAACACACGGTGCCTCTGCAGCACCATAAAACCACCGGAGCATAAACAATGTGGTAAAACCTGGAGAGATGGAGGAACAGAGAGTGGAGGGATGGGGAGTAGCTGGAGATAAAGGACATCATTTAAGCATGAAAAGAAAGAAAGAGAGACGGAGAAATCAAAGCTGGGAGAGGCTGCACTGAACTGACTGTCAGGAAATGACTGAGGAAGATGAACAGAGGGAGATCGAAACAGAACAACAACAAGACATGGAAATGGGTTGAGGAAGATTTAGTTTAAGCTTGTTTGGGATAACGTTGGGATAAAACGTTCAGTTTGGATAGAATCAGATGAAATTGACATTAAAAAAAGGTTTAGGTGTAACTTGTAAGTTGTGTAAAAATCTAGTTCAGCTTAAGTAAACAAAAATCTTTGCTACTACTTAACCATTCACAGCTAATGCATGATGGCTTCTTGCTCCAACGCTTGCACAAACACTCACCCCTCTGTATTACATCTCTTACATTGCTCCGCCATTTAACTTCACCGTGATTATCAACATCTTGTACTAAATGTGCCGCCTTTCGAGTGCTGGAGGTGATATTCTGTTGGAGGCTGTTTAGTGGTGAAATTTAATTAGTAACAACAACAGCATGCTCAGTAATATGAAGACAAGAAGCTGATCGTTGCTAGTGGCTTAATATAAGAAGGAAATTTGCCTTGAACTCGTTCCTTCGTTCTGTGTGTGTGTGTGTGTGTGTGTGTGTGTGATAACATGAATTTCAGTCTGATGTTTCAGTTAATGTGTAAGTTTCAGGTTCAATCACTTACACAAAATCCCTTACGCGCACAATCTTTTTAACGTCTCAAGGACGCCTTGAGCGTGAGGATAGAGTAATGAAGTGATGACATTGTTGGACAGACATGCTTCTTCCTGCCAAGCACCACGTTCTGGTGGCGCTGCAAGAAGAATAAAAGTGCTCATAAGTGCTCAGCTTTATGGAGCTTTATAGTGAGTTTCAGCTCGTCAGCTTTGTGGACTGTAACTTTGGTTCACCCTCACTGCTTTCATAGAGCCGTCTTCATAAGGCAGCTGTTTTCCGTATGTTACCTTCCCAGCCAAGGGGGAAATTTACACTCTGGTGGACGTTTCTCCCTCCCTTTTCAAAATCCTATATCCTTGTCCCCCTCATTTTTATAGTGTCAGGGTTGATTTTAATTGTAAAATGTCTCGTAGCGTTGTTCCCTTACTGTCCAGCGGCCAAATTTAAATGCAAAAGGATCTGAGTTGATAAAAGAAAGTTGATACACTCATCTGAGTCAACTTCAAATATTACTGTGTGCTCATAACTATGGGCTAAATTACCTTTTTTTGCCCTGTTTTATTTGACAGGCTACACCACAGGCTGCTCTATCTTATTACTCAAGAGAGATAATACAATTTGAAAGCTGCCTCATCTAAGCAATAGATTTGTCCATTTGGATGTCAGGAAAATGCTCAATACCTTTGGAAATTAAACTCAAAATCCTTATCACCTTGGATACAAATGATTCAATTGAATTTGTGTCAGTATCATTTCATCACTTTCATTACAACAGAAATGCTACCAGGAGCTTTACACTGACCTCAGTGTGTTTGTGTTTCTCCTGTCTCCTCAGTGTGTCCGTGGATGTGGGACAACCTGACCTGCTGGCAGGCTGCCAATGTTGGCGAAGTTGTGGTGGTCAACTGTCCAGAGCTCTTCCACGACTTCATGGACCCTGAGGATGGTGAGGAGATCAGCTATGTCCTCTCATTTGATTTGATCTCGTGTGTATTTAAAAAAAATGAATTGCATTCGGTTCAGTTTAGCCCGAGGCTTATTTTTTATTTTCAGAGATGGGGAGGATCAGTCGTAACTGCACAGAGGAAGGCTGGTCTGAACCTTTCCCTCACTACGTGGATGTCTGCTTCTTCTTCGACAACATCACTAAACTTGTACAACCTCTTGAACCTCATCTGAATTTCACATTGCATTTGTCACAGACATACATGACTAACCCTCTCCCTCTGTCTCCCACATTAGGACACGTACTTTGCCTCAGTCAAGGCCCTGTACACAGTTGGCTACAGCACATCACTGGTGTCTCTGACTACAGCCATGGTCATTCTCTGCAGGTTCAGGTGAGCGTCACAAACTCAGGTCTCTCAAAATTGGTACATGATATGAAAATAGGTTTTATTCATGCTTTTCTTTGACCATTTGAATCCTAAACGTCATCACGCCGACTAGTCCACCTTCACAGCCTCGTTGTGTATACTCATGCTCTCTCTCTTCTCTGCAGGAAGCTCCACTGCACCAGGAACTTCATCCACATGAACCTGTTTGTGTCCTTCATCCTGAGAGCCATCTCGGTCTTTATCAAGGACGGCGTGCTGTACGCTCAGGAAGACAGCGACCACTGCTTCGTACACACAGTCAGTAAAGACATCTACTTCATTTATACTGTGTGGTCACTCAGAAGCCGTAGTACACACATCACATACATACATGTCTTGCCGATAGATTGCTTATCAAAGAAAGCAACTATGACCTGTTTGGTAAATATGCAAACAATGAATTTTCAGTACACAAGGCTGAATGTTTCAATACTGTAAAATTGAAGCAGATAATTGCAAAAATGAAGCCTTTCTTGTTCTACATGATTGATTCTCTGATTGCTGGAAGGGTTTGGAGTCAGTATAAGAGTGTTGGCAGTCGCAAAACGTTGTCAAGAATATTGTTAATAGGTTCCAGAGAACATAATTAAAGGATTTCATCAAAGTGCAGCATCTCGTTTTATAAAGGAAAACATGCGTGTAAAATGTGATCAAGCGCGGACTGTTTGAGATACAACGAGAAGTTCATAGACAGACGGATTGAAACACTTCTCCTCCAGTCTTCACTGTTTGATGCGCACCTTTTGAAGGAACTTCAATCACATGCAAATTTTTTACAAAAAAAGCAAACACGCTATTAGATGCCTAATATTTCCTGATTACAAATGCAGAACAAGCTCTTAGCCTTTGTCTGGTAACAACACACAGCTCAGCGTTGTTAAGCAGGCTTGATAAATAAACCTAATTAGGTACGCTAATGGCTTCAGCACGGCCAGTGGGTGGAAATCTTCTACCAGAGGCTCATTGACATGTCAATGGTTACTCTGCCCTTTTTTTTCAAACATGCTTTACCGTTGTCTCTATGGCGATCACAGGTCACTACTGTGGCCTTGTTGTACCATGCTGTAATGGGTTGACCTCACACTCAGAATGTGGACTCTTTCATTAACATGACATCATTCGATTACAGCGACCCACCTGACATGTAGCCTATCGTGGGTGGGTCCCTATAATGTTGGCCGTGACAACGTTTTTCAATCCACACATAGTTGCTAAATGCTACATGTTTGAGGGTAAATGCAGCGTTGTGCAGTTAGTCGCAGCCCTGTCCTTCGGGGGAATATCGATCTCTGTTTACACTGTGTTTTACAGGAATAAGGACGTTTGTCATTCTGACATTTATCGTCTTGAGCTTTTAAAAGAAAGGTTGATGATTAAACATGGATTCAACATTTTGAGGCTGCAGCAAAATTCTTTTAATGAGGATGAAACGACCAAGAAAGCTAATTTCTCTCCTATATCAAGAGCATATTTAAATATACCTGTAATTACGAGGGTATAGCAAATGGCTGACGGTACCGTTCATATTTTTATATACTTGCTCCTAGCTAACTGAAGGAATAGTACACTATATATATGAATGTATAAAACCATTAATTAAAATGTGAAAATAAATTATTTTAAAAAACAGCTAAGAAGTTAATCAAAATAACAGAAATAGACTAAATAGATATCATCTTACCATATTGTTGCACTTCTTTCTAAGTGAGAGTTCAGATGTTAAAGTCCCTGATAAGTTTCCCTCTTGTTTTTCCCCGTGTGCAGGTGGCCTGTAAAGCAGTGATGATTTTCTTCCATTACTGTGTCATGTCCAACTATTTCTGGCTGTTCATTGAAGGTCTGTATCTCTTCACTCTGCTGGTGGAGACTTTCTTTCCTGAGAGACGTTACTTCTACTGGTACACCATTGTAGGATGGGGTGAGTAACCTTTCCTGAGTAGTTGTCATTAATGGTCAAAAGTTGCGACTTTTCTGTCTAATCACACTGTAAATTCAGCCGTTTATGCCACAATTTAAACTTTCAAAAGTAATTTACTTACACCTATTTTGGGAAAAATTAGATTTTTATTATCAATTTTGTAATACTTAGAGGAAAAGAGATAGCACAATGAGACTGAATAAAACATGTATTCTGGATTCTCATCACTTATTCCGTACATCTTCATCCTGAAGGTCTCACTCAAACAGCTTTCTATTTATTCATTTATTTGCCAAGATCTTTGAGATTTCAGCCAATCTTGCCAGTAAATATAATAAATACAATTCATGTTGATAATAATAAAAGTATTATTACAGTCTGGAGACAAACATTTCAGCATTCTATAAATACAAATCTATGATAGAGTATCATTATGACAATTTTCTCATAATTCTTTTCCATTTTTTAATGATTACTGTTATTACAGGAACTCCCACCATCTGCGTCACTGTCTGGGCAGTTCTGAGGCTCCACTTTCATGACACTGGGTATAACTCCTCTTGGAACTTTACATTCTCTCCATGTCGACCATGTTGTTCATAGCATATAAAGCACTTGAGAACACACTGTTTGAGAGCAGAAAGGCAGGGACCTTCATGTCCAAATATTGAAATAAGATAACTTAAATGTATCTCGTTTTGATCCTGGTAATACAATTTCAGATGAGGAGGGGATTTACAAGTTCAGGCATTTAGGGGAATAGATCAGGGAGTTAACTTCCCTCATTGTTACACCACAGATCATTTATTTATGCTGAAAATGTTCTTTAAATCAAGAACTGATCATGTGTTGCATGGGATTAAGTGTCAGCTCGTCTTTATCTTTTATAATTTGCTGTGCATAATACATGATAAACTATGTGAGTGTAAGCAAATAATCATCATTTAGAATTATTTGACAGATTTTTCTAAAAAAGGTTAAATCATGATTTTAGCCCAGCTTCCATTTTACATCCTCCTCTCCTTTCCAACCCTTTCCTCCACCATCCTTATTCTGCAAATGGCCACTTGCTTGACGTATTGTATGATGCTATTTTTTTTTTTCCAAGTACTGATATAGAGTGTTGAATGATAATTGAAACCCACTGTTCTCCTCGTTGTCCTCCAGATGCTGGGATACAAATGAGAACACTGCCCTCTGGTGGGTGATCAAAGGACCAGTCGTGGCCTCCATTATGGTAAAACGGATGCTAATGTGTACTTGTGTCTACATTTGTACACATGCTCTGCTATTGCTTAACCGACTGTAGTGTAATTTATGACAACAAGATTTATGTTATTTGTTTTCTCAGATCAACTTTGTCCTCTTCGTCGGAATAATCATCATCCTGGTGCAGAAGCTGCAGTCCCCTGACATCGGAGGGAACGAATCGAGCATTTACCTGTAAGTTCCAATCAGCAAATTCATTATCTCCATCGTTGTATGTCTTCAGAAATGAGATGAAAAATTCCTTTATTGCAGTAGACATGAGCCCTGTAGTTTATTTTGGGTCAATCGTCCTGCTGTAAATACTCACCACAGCCTCAAATGTGACTTAATGCGCAGCTAAAGTAATCCCCCAAATGAATGAGTCCTTAACATAAATGTAACTACTTGTACAGATTTGCAGAAGGAACAAATAGGCTTGGGACTGAGCGCCTCTGACAGGGTGGAGAAGTTAGAAGTATTGAGCGACGGACTAAAACATTGTTGATTTTGGTCTTTTCATGGGATTTGTTGATGATAAAAAAAGTATAGAATATTGTTTCTTTTTCTTTGGATCAGTATGTCCCCTTTAAATATACTATCTAATACTAAATTAACATTTCATAAACAGGAACCATGTGTTATTTAATGTTTTTTTTTATCCATAGCAGTTTTATTTTCACATTCCTGTCATTAAACCTCCAATGTGTCATCTTAGACACTTTTCAGAATATATTAATTTGTAGTACCTGTTGGCAGGAAGCGTGAACCTCATTATGGAGTTGTACTGTAGCCAGACATCACTCCTGTTCTGCTCCCACCGGACGGCGTCTTTTGAGGCTCTGCAGATAATGTCATTCTCATCTGTTGCCTAGACCTGTGCGTGCGTGACCAAGTGTGAAAACGTGTGTGTGTGTTGTGTGAGACTGTGTGTCTGTGTCCCTAAAGACACTGTCTCTGTCTTTGTTGTATTGTTGTGTTGTCTTTGTGCTGTGTAGCAGCTGTGCTCAGAAATGCTTCAGTGAGCCCACACAGGCTGTTCAACATTCGTGCAGGATGTCAGAGTTATCCACCATCACACTGTAAGTGTGTGTGTCTGTGTGTGTGTGTGTGTGTGTGTGTGCGCGTGTGTGAGTGTGTGTGTGCGAGTGTGCGTGTGTGTGTGCGTGTGTGTGCGTGTTTGCCCACCGACACACGTTTGTGCGTGTTTGTCGAGTGTCGACTGCATGTGTGTATATGGTGTGTGCTTTACACCAGGGGTTCTTAAATGCATTCTCACACACACATGTTTGTACTTCTATACTTGTGGGGACCCTTATTGACATACTACATCCTCTAGCCTCTAACCATAACCATCACTGAACCTAAACTTAACTCTAACATGAACCTTCAAACCAAGTCTTAGCTCTCCAACAGGCCTTTGAAGGTTCTGCCCAAAGTGGGCGCGGCTGAATTGTCCTCACTAAAACTTAACCGGTCCTCACAAAGGTAGACACACAAGAATGTATACATACACAGCATTAAGTTAATCTGTGTTGCACTGTGTGCCTCGCATCATTTTAAGGTGTCATTTGTTGTTTGTTTCTGTGTATTTCCATTTGTTATCTGTATGTCAGACACCATGTTTTACTGCATGATGCAGACACTGCTAAGATAAGGACACAATTAATAATCTATATGACCACAGGGATAGATTGTACATGTCAACAGTTATGTGTTTCTCTTCTCAGTCTCGATCTTGTGATCATTTTCACCTAAAACCGGATTAGTACACTAAATCTAAGCTCAGATTTAAAGGATAAGACTTGTCTTATTCTATATTCTTATTGTCAAAAAATCCCATAAAGGACCAGAACCAACTAAGTTCAACAACACTATTTAGTTTCTGATTTCCTTGCCACATCCCCGTATCAATTTGATCTTACTGAAGATATAGGTTTTTTTTAAATATATTTCCTTGGCATTGTAAACAAACAAGTAAATAATTAGTGCTCTAGTGACTATTTATGTCAGTGAGACAGCGTATGTGGAATTGGCTCATAATAAACTACAGGCTACAGGTTTATCATGATAAAGAAACAAGTGACCCAGCTCATTAATGTTTATTATTAGATATTAGACTTTGGCTACACAGACAATACCTGATAGTGGGATCAATTAATTATTGATTTTAGTTTTAATGCGATTTGTTGACAATAAGGAGTATAAAAAAAAAAATCTCCCGCCTTATCCTTAAAAGCGAACACTAAAATAATCATAAAATTGTGACTGAGCCTGCATTTTAAACAACATTTGTCATAACATTGCAACATTAGCTCTGTTCTTGCATCACGTCCAGTTGTCCAGCATCAGTAACACATGACTTATTAAACTCTGTGTGTGTGTGTGTGTGTGTGTGTGTTTGTAGGCGTCTGGCGCGCTCCACCCTCCTGCTCATCCCTCTCTTTGGTATTCACTACACTGTGTTCGCCTTCTCACCTGAAGATGTCAGCAAGAGAGAGAGACTGGTCTTTGAACTGGGACTGGGATCCTTCCAGGTATGCTCGAACGTCCGGTTTCAATTTAAGAGAAATATGAGATGATGAATGAGAGAACATAACGGGATGATAAATATAAACTAAATAAAAATACCTTGATTTCCACAGCTATGCAGCGAGCTTTACACACTTCCAATAATGGAGAGCCGTTGGGCTTTGAAGTTTTTCCAAGCAATTGCAGGCACAAAATTGGACAACAAGTTTAACATTATTGATTACAAATTAAAAGAAGTCAAACATTCGCTACTTCCAGCTGAGGATTTGCTGCTTTTTCTTTGTCTTATTTGAGTGAATTGATTTTTAATTTTTTATTTGGACTGATGGTTAAACAATATGAACAGTTTGAATCACTTTTGGGAAATTGTGATAAGAATTTAAAGCTATTTTCCTATTTTGTAGTCGGTGTAAGCATGTAACATACGCCATGAAATCATTCACTCAAGACTTCATTTTTGCCAATTTGTATGAATTTGATATTGGGTATCGACACCTCTGCAACAATTAAAATAATAAACAAATCTTTACAGGGAAATATAAACTTTTGTTTAACCAGCAGCTCTGTAGTATGTCATACAAAATTCTACAGAAGGGTAGTCACGAGTCACGACGCGGTCTTTACTGATTGCACATTACATTTCCTGGATACTGAAGTTGACATTTTTTCAAACGCTTACTTCTGCTATTCAGAGCTGACAGCACACACTGCTTTGGAGTATAGCTTTTATCCATCCCCACAGTCACTCTTTTTGATACGTCTTTAGCCTTGGTTGATAAGGATGCAGTTATTTTTAAGCTGTTTTTCTCTATAATTTGTGTTCTCTTGTCTCCTCCTCAGGGCTTTGTTGTAGCTGTCCTTTACTGTTTCCTCAATGGAGAGGTAAGCTTTTACTCCCATTGATAAACAGTTTCCCTTTGTGATATTTTACTCGGCTTCTGGTTTTTTTCTGACACTTATTAATACCAGAAATGCTCTTAGTGGTATTTGTGATGAAGATAGCACTTGAACATATTTTAGGATAGATGTCTCTAAATACTGCAAACGGTAACACTTTACTTTAAGCCCTCTATTTAACATGTATAATATATACAAACATTAAATTACTTATAACAGCCATTCCCAAAGACTAGGTCGGGACCCACAGGTCTTCTATTTAACATGTGTGCCTGCAGTACAACTTTGAGTCAAAAAAGGAAAATTGTAGCCTACTTATGACATCACATCTTATATAAAAGGCTAGCGGACATTTGTTCAATTGATGAGAGGGAAAAAAACAAGAGCCTGTTAACTAAATGCATTCATTTTGTCTCATTTATAAAGTATTCATGTGTATATGTTTTCAATCTCACATCAAATGAAATTGTGATTTATCTAACGCTAGTTAATACATTAAATTACAATAAGTGCTTCATTAACAAATAAACAACAATACATTAAATTAATGTTTATAATAAATATTACATTTTGAATGTAAATCTGTAGTAGATACCACATCTGCCACAAGTAAAAAATAGCTGCCCCTGATGAAAAGTTCACGTTTTATGAGTTTTACAAATCTACTGTAGATTACAGCATATAATGTAAATCTTGAAATATCCACTTTCTTTAAATGACTCTTGATTTCAAACAGTTTAAATTCCATGACTTAAGTCTCTTTGACCATGACACTTTTGAGTCTCACAAACACCAGAAACAGCGTGCTGATGACAGAGAACAACAATCACTCATTTTTGACAAATGAGTATTCAAAAAAAAGTGCTGTAATTCTGTAAGGCCTCGCTCATCAATAAAGAAAAATTACATTTGTTCTCAAATTAATTCGACAATCTAAACCTATTGAAACATACAATGCACTTCTGTTCTTCCACAATACTGACAAAAACAATTCTGTCGTCAACTGACCTCTGATGTCACAGATGAAGACTTCATTTATGTGATTAAAGCTTTAATATATTATATTGTCAATCCTTCATTAACTCTTTACACACCAATTATGAATGTGTCAAGGGAATTATAACTGTTGACAAATACATTAATAATATATTAAAGTGTCACTTACACAACTTAAGTGTACTGTACCTTATCGTGGAGCTGGTACAGCTTAAAGTACATTAAAAAATGACCTTGTGAAGTTTCTCCCTGAAGGTGCAGTCGGAGATCAAGAGGAAATGGCGCAGCTGGACCGTGAACCGGTACTTTGCTGTGGACCTGAAGCAGCAAAGGCACCCTTCGTTGGCCAGCAGCGGAGTGAACGGCGGGACTCAGCTGTCGATCCTCAGCAAGAGCAGCTCCCAGATACGAATGTCCAGTCCGCTGGCGGAGAACGCCAACATCAGCCTCCCAACCTGAGCGTCTGATTGGCAAGAGTCAACTTAAAGGTGCCGTTCCACTTATGTACATCCAGAACAACCAGAGTAGACCAAAGTGGCCCCTCATACCTCATTACATTTTGTAGTTTGGCCTTTCGAAAATGAGGTATTTCTGAAAGCATTTACTGGAGATCCATTAGAGGTACATAGCTGACGTTCATACTTAATCCTTTTATTTCACTATACGATACAATTGAATTAATTTGAGTATTTCAGTTGACTCTGCAGATTGTGAACTTTTCAAATTTTCTGATTTTCTAACAGACAAATTCCATTCCATAGATTTAAACAGAGAGATATTAGAAATTCCCTTCCTACCAATGTTTTTATCTTAAATTTAGCCCCTATTATTGTTTAATGTATAATTAATATCAATGTAGAGTTTGGTGCCAAAAAACAGTACTTGTTGTAAAAAAGAAAACAGTAGTTAAACACCAAATGTAGGGGTCATATTTGTCTGTTGGTGTGTCAAGTAAATGTGCTTCAAAGTGCCATACAGGTTGCCTGACTGGATCTGATCTCATAACAGTCCAAAGTGAAGTAACAACCAAACGTCCGCCTTGCTTGTACAAATGCTCATTGTTTAAATGTTTTATCTTACAATTTAAACATTTTTCTACAATCTGCCGTAAGTACAGAGTATGTCAAAAGATATATCGAGAACAAAACAAAACATGCATAACGCAGTATTGTAATGACCTTTTCAAACAAAAGGAACTGGAGCCCAAATCTGTAGACTTCATCACATATCCTGAGGACCCAGAAGATCCAGCCCACTCTATTCTGAGCTATTTGTTTGTATTTAATAAAAACACAGTGTACACAGAAGAACAAAGTGCCAAACTGAATGAGCACTGTAGAGCAGGGGTTCCCAACCTGAAGGTGAAGATGAGGGGTTGTGAAATGCCAGATACAACAATGTAGGAAAGAAGAGCATTTTTCTGCTCCGTTAAATTATGTTTTATTTTTATTTTTTGGTGTAAAACACCAGATAGATTCATGTCTTTCAGGCTTGGAGGTGTTTAAATTAACCCATATGTGAAGGTAAAATGTGCTTGCAGCTCGAAGAAATGTGTAACTTTTAATTGACTTTGTATTGTTTTAAAGCCAAAAAGGTTGGGACCCACTAGAGGACATCACAGTACATGAGGGAATACAACACTCTATTTAAAAAGTAATCCTTAAAATCTCCTCTCTGAACTGGTCCTCACAGCTAGTGTCAGTAGTTTCCTCCAGTTGATTTTCCTTTCACCGACTTGTCATTACCATTCTTGCAGACTGTGAACTTAAATGTGCCATTTAGCGGATGATTTGATCCAAAGCTTCTCAATAGTGCCATTAGTTCATATGCACAGCATTTTATCATAGGCGGCGAGAATCAAACCCTTAACATGCTCTTAAAGATAACACTCTTTGTCCTCTTTTCTCTGAGCATCAGCCCATCGTGCCACATCAAATTGCTCTTCATTATAATTTTGTTTTGATGAATCACCTCCTACACTCATATTCCAAAGTGCCTAGTCAGTCACACATAGCTCTCACTTTTATTTCCAGTACAATGAACAGATATCTTAAATGTGTAGTAAGAGTCATTTTCTGCAAAGAATGTACAGAGTGTTGTGTTTTTATTGTGAAGCAAAGTTATGCTACGAAAAAACAGTTTTGCTCATTTATTGGTGAAATTATTTATGAGAAAAGAGTCCTGTTTTTTTTCTTCTTAGTTTTAATCACAATGAGTTTGACAAGACTTAAGTAATAGCTCTACGTAACTTCTGTTTTATTTGACCTGCTGGTTCCAACTATCATCTATAAGTCCGTTACAATTCAGCACCAACGCCAGACACATAAACAGCTTCAAAACAATACATGTTCTAACAGTCAACACAAAAATGCTTTAATGTGACAGCTCTTGACAATCGCAGTGTGTTGCCCATTTTTTTTTTCTTTCTCTCTTTTTGTTTGTAAGCTAACAAACAATAACTGTCCAGACGTAGAAATGATTTAAGATGAAATGTGAAACGATGTGTACAGGAGGATTTATCCACAACATTTACTCAAGATATTTATTTTTTTGTACTGTCATCTGAATGGATTATACAATTGTAGTGTCTTAAAAAGATGAATTGACAATTATCGAACAGAAAAGGATGTACATTTATTTTCCATGAACCAGTGCCATGCTGTGAAATGACTCAATGTACAGTATACATGCTTTCTTATGTGTAATTTAGTTGTATGCCTGATGTATTATTTCATTATTGATATCGACTCTCTCGTTGCTATAACTGGTGAGATGTGTGGCACAATGTCTCATTTCTAATTTTAAAGAAAACAAAAAACACTCAAAGGAAATTGCTGTCCAAAGAGGATATTGTGAGAGAGCAAAAAAAGCGAGATAAAAAATAAACACTACTGAAGAAGAGATGCATCAGATTTATGCATCTGCTTGGCTGCTTTTTGACAAAACAGTGTGTGACAAGATACTATCACGGGAACTCGAGCCAGAGGTAGAAATGTTTTTGGTTTTTTCTTTCGATTAGGAAGGTACGAGAAGGTGGAACAACTGCGACAGATAAAACACAAAGTGTGTACGAGGGTGTGATAAAAGAAAACACTCCGCTGCTGCTTACGTGTTCTATCACCAGCCGTCATTCTGAGTCTGAATCAGCTCAGATGGAAACGACCATGTCTCAAAGCTGTTACTGTCTGTGGAAAGAGGAGGAGAAAACTCCTTTCATGACCATGTCTGTGCTGTATATTTGTTTGCCACAAGGTGGCAGCAAATCATTTTAGTTGGGGGGGGGGGGGAGTTAGACTGGCATTGATTTGCTTTTTGAGCCTTGTACTTTGAATTTTTGATGAAATAGGTAGTGCTTATTAACATTGTTCACTTTTCACAGCGTTGATTTTTTTTTATACAGAACTAAATCAACAAGCCTACAAGTTCGATTTTTCTTAATGAGGTCAAATATGCCCCCCTCTCAATCCCAAAATTCCCTTCCAGTTCACATTAGTTTCAAAACAAAATGAACTATTTGAATTTCAAAACTTGCTGACATATGAGGAAATATTGAGAATTGGGGGCACCTTGTAGTGACCGTTCCTCTCTCCACAAACCACTTCTTACAGTTACTTTAGCATTACGGAAGCACACTCGTCTTTTTGTGTGAAAGAAAAGCTCTTGACACGTTTTCTGAAAGCAATAGTCTGACATTTTCGTAGATATGTTCATTCACTTTCTAGCTGAGTGTTTGGTGAGAAGATTAATACTACTTTAATGGCTGTACGCTAATGAAGCTACAGCCGGTTAGCTTAGCTTAGCACGAAGGCTGGAAGCAGGAGGAAGCAGCTAGCACTCCAATGTTCCCAGCGTCTTCATTATAGCCCTGTATTTTCTCCTGGATTACGGTAGTTTAGTTCAATTTACGTGGTAAACATTGTAAATTTAACCAAATAAAAACAACAAAATTACTTAGTTATGTTTAGGCAAAATTGTTTGGTTAGGTTTAGTAAAAACATCATGGCCACTGTGGAGATTTCAATGTCTAAAGTCAAGAAAACTGTTTGCTAATTTAAGGATGTTGATTTCAAAGAGTATGACATCAGCTAGAAAAAAAGCATTGCTGAGGAAACTTTGAAAGGTCTCCTTTGTTGTAATAAGGAGATATTGAGCTGGGGAACATCGTCCCTTGGGGACATAGATAAGCTCCCAGCTAGAAGTCATTGGCTAACTAATAGATACCTTATCTTGACGAGATAATTACAAAACAGCTGGCAAATATTTGGTGTATTTCCCAAAATGTCAGGCTATTCCTTTAAATGTAACTCTTCTCAGTGTGGCATATCTCTGTGTTTAGATGCCTTTCCTTTGGCGGTTGTGCGTGTTGAGCCAGTTTTATCAAGTGTGAGTTCCAATTGATTGCCAATGAATTTTTGAATGTACCGATGTTACTCAGCTGCTCTTAAATGTCGCCTGCTGTCAATTTGCCATGGTGTACAAACGATGTCTTTTCTTGATCATATACAATGCACTGTATATGTATATTTTCGGCACACAGGTGGACCTCTTGACGAAAACCTGTAATGTTTGTGACCGTGTTTTTGTATGTTTATGTAACTGTTTTCAGAGTGTGTGTGAGTGTGTGTGTGGAAGTTGGAGCAAGTGTATTCTGTACACATGTGTACGTAATGACAAGCATTATTAATGAGGATATATGTAACTTAAATGTCAAAAGAATATCTATAAAGCTTCATCCATATGATGTTCTACCTGTGACGGTGTGTCATGTGTTACATGCGTTCTGGTGTCAAACATTTATGTCCCAGGTTGTGTAAATTTGACTGCAAAATAAATCTATCTGTGGTACATTGTTGCATTTAGAGATTGTTCTTTGTTTCCCTCAGCTGTCCCATCCATTAGAATGGACAGTGTACAGATTTGGCAGTTTATGGGTACTTCATTACCATAAGAGGAAATTATCTTGTACAAACATTTATGGCTGAATTAGATCTGTAAAAGCAATTATTTTTAATGTAAGGATTATGAACCGTATGACAGACCAACTTTCTGCTTCTCTTTCCTAATGTTATCCAAATTAAGGTTCACATCAACATTTATGAACATCTTTCCCCAAGCATTTAATACCAGCTTTTGGACTGTGCCCAAAAGCTGACCCTCACTAAATCCACAAGAACAAGTAATATATTCAGTGTGAAATAAAGTGCAACATTAAATCATATTGTGTACTGACAATGACCATCAAAGTGCTTAATGGAACAGTCCAGTGCATTATTCATGGTTTGTGAACTAGAGATGCATCGATTCAACCAATATTGAACCCAAAAGCCAACCCAGAGGTATTTTTTTGTGTTCATGTCTTCATTGAGTGCAGGTTTAACAGACGTTTTCAAGGCTTCATCACATTTCCCTGTTCTTGACAATCTATTGTAAAGGGTTGGCTTGAACATTTTACGGGCCTTATACTCCCCCGCATTGTTTACACCAAATCCCCCCCAGCAGAACTGGAAAAGTCCAACACAGAAATGTATCTTAAGACACTCTCACTATGTCAGTTATCTTGTTACCTTACCTATTTAAAGCCACGTTACCATGTAAATGCTGAGCATGATGTTTTGTATACATTTGGTATCTCCTGTAGTGCAAGAATTAGGATTATCACGTCTGGCAACAGCATAAAAAAATGAAGATGCGATGAAGAAACAAATCAAGCTCATGAATATTCACAAATACTGTGTTTCAAATGGTTTCAGATGGCTCATCAAAGCAGACAACTCCTTGAAATAAGAAGTCTTGTATGACGTGATGTACCCAATATATGGCAGCTTCACACACACACACAAGCAAACGCACACAGCTTTGAATACACTTTACTCAGGTCCCAGATCTTCGGCATTTAAAACTTCTCTCTAAACCAGCAGGTGAATTTCTGCACAAAAAATCAATTAGCACTCGGTCCATATCAGTCCTGCACATATGTTCAGTCTGCACCAAAATAACAATCAGAGGAGTCGAGCTCTTTTCAAATAATTTAGCCAAGTTCAAACATCCATTGTTTCCACAGCGGTGTCCTTATAATTCCTCAACATTTGTACTCCATCTGAAAACCAACCCTGTCTCCTACAAAATGACATTCCTATACGAACTGCACTCTCAATTACGTTTTACAAGATTACGGTCACAGTTTAAAACAAGTGGTTAACGTTGTAAATTGAAAAAAAAATATATAAAATATATGCAAAAAACCCCCACAAAACTACTTTATTAGGTTTAGTAGAAAAAAAATCAATCTCACTTTAAACTTGTCAAATACAGACAGTTGGTAAATGGCTCTCAGCGTCTCATATCAACGTAAAACAACGTAAACCCAGCCGCGTCACTATTAGACGCTCAGAACAACTGACTTAGTTTAAAGAGCGAGACCACACAGGGCAGGCTAAATGGGTGGAAGGGTCAAACAAACACAGGACTTTTGAACAGGAGACTTCTTTTTGTTAGACATTAACATTTTACAGCAACATTTTGCTGTAACCAAAACCATGTTAAATCATCTTACAACAACTTCTCGGGCCAGCTCTGTCTCTACTGTGGACTGGACACCGTGTGTCACCACGACATCCTTACAAATGCAAGCACCAGTGTTCCTTTACTTTTTTGTAATTTTTGGTTGAAACCATTTTCGAAGAAACTGTAAATTAGCTCATGGCTGCAGCTGACACTGATATGATGCATTTAATAATACAACATGTCCTCAATCACTCACCAGTGTTCATTACGCTCCTCCCACAGAGGGGTTGTTGAGTTATTGTCATTAGCAGGTTGAGGACTGCCTCTCGTAGTTTGTTTGACATTCTCACGACAACTCTTCTCTCATGGCTGGGATCTTTAAAATCAAACTGAAGAGACGTTCCCGTTAGAAGGAGGTCGCCTGAGCCCCCCGTGGGCTTGAACTGTTATCTGAGTGATGCTTCGCTTGGCCGGCGTGAGATGATTTTGATTGCGACACTTCCACAGCCATCTCCGCAGCTCCGTTTGGACCTGCAGACAGACGCATGTATGCAGCCTAGTACCAGAGGCAGGAACTGATTTTGTTAAAGCCACTATGTGAACAATGTGCCCCGAGTGACAGTACCAGAAAAGACACTGTGGCAGATAATGTAGCAATACAAACGAGTAGAAATGTACAGCATGCTTGAATATTTGTATCATGTAACTGTCCCCTATAGTCACTTACCTCTCCATTCATGAAACAGTAAAGCAGTGCCACCACAAAACCCTGCAACACAAGAGGACATGACACGTGCACATGTGATGTATGTATAGTCAGCTTTAAAGATAAAGTTCATAAATCTCTTTATCAGCTTTTTTTTTTTAGTCAGCTTTAAAGATAAAGTTCATGTATCTCTTGGATGTAAATTTCTCAGACATTGCGATTATGTAAAAACTCATTTTTGGTCTGATTATAAGCTTGAACTCAATCGTTTAGATCCTAAGATGTTCCCCAATTGTACACACCTCAAGTGACAAATAAGAAGACATTTCAAAGTATTCATATTTTCTCCAGTCAATATGCTGTGATAAACAGGTGACCTTTTTTCTTTGACAAATTTGTTATACAAATTCATGAATACATAAATATTGCCAGATCGAAAAGTTGCTCCAAATTCTTTTTAAAGTAGACTTTAGTTTACGGTGCAGACCAACATCCCCGGTTAAAGTTTGGTCACTCCCCATCACTCTCTCCCCCTATTGGCCCTTTTCACAGCAGCCATTTTGACATGTCACAGCAGGGTAAACACAGGTGTAATTGATAAAGTTAATCAGTGTCCCATTTTATTTAGTGTCACAGCTATTCCTCTGAATCAGCATGCACAATACCAGGGCCCTGGCCCACCAGGCACAGGGCCATAATTAACGTTATTAATTACACCTGTGTTTACCCTGCTGTGACATGCCAAAATGGCTTTTGTAAAAGGGCTTGTTACAGTAGGAAATGTCTCATGTGCTTATTTCATGACTAAAAAAGAGCAGAACCATTGTTAGTGTATTAGTAACAACTGCGTTATCCTGTAAGTCAAAATGTCTGATGTGAAAAATGAGTATCCTGGGAGCATCCTACCCTAAGCAATGCACCTTTGGTAACTTGTATTGTGATTTGTCTTTATATAGTTTTTAAGTGGACTTTTTATTCTGATACCTCTCTGTTGCTTTATACCTGAAAGGATCCCAGGCCCAGCTCGATGTAGAGTCTGGCTGCCACTCCAGTGTTCTCGGGCAGGAAGGCGAATACTGTGTAGTGCATCCCAAACAGAGGGATGAGGAACAGTGTGGATTTAGCCAGCCTCCTGAAGGAAACGAATAACAAAGGAATGAAAGAAAGAAGAAAGCCTTGACAGCAGTCCAGGTAATGTTAAGGCACACCATCGGGATGGAAACACATTTTCTCAATCAGCGATAAGACTTTCATGAACACATAATCTTCTGGCTGTTTCACATAAGAGATTTCTGTTTTATTTTTCCTCTTTTCAGTAGCTTTGCTGTTTTTTTAGTATAGTTATCTTTACATTTTGGGTTGGTGGGGCTCATTTTTGAAAAAGGTGATGCCAAATACTTTCATGCATCAATCAGGATTTAGCAACTTTGAATCAAAATGTAATGAAAGTTTCCCAAAGAAGCAAATTAGCTGAGTTTTTCACTTTGACTTTGATGGTTGCTTATAAATATTCCATGTTAAAGACAAATCACGAAGATTAGAAAGTTTCCAGGAGCTTTAAATTAAGATGCATCATCTCAACAACAAAAATCTGAACATGTAGTAATAATAGCTTTTCACAGAAATACTCACTTTTATCAGTGTTAGTTTTAAATGCCAGAATGCATTATTCCACCAAGTTTCATCAAAGGTAGAGCAGATGTGGCAGATATAAAATCCAACTGACCTTTAAAACAACACGTCATCGTTGGAATAGATTCAAATGTCAAAATACAAAAAGCTGATGCATTGTGTATCAAAGTCGAGTTCAAATCAGATTGATGATGATGATGATGATGATGATGACGACGTTATTTAATTGTGGTGACATTACATTATTGCAGCAATTTGCTACAAGTCATGTGGTTTGAAATAAGAACCCCACCTCTGCATGATATCTCTCAAAAATCACAACTGCCACTGATAAGTACCCCCCTGTCTTATTTTCTTATACTTTATTAAGTTTATTCTTTCATGTCACCGATATGGTAAATTAGCTGCAAATATCTATCTAAACTCTCAGCCGATTCAAAACATATTCTATCTCAGATCAATCATTGGTTAACCCAATAGAGGTGTCTGCACATTGTGCACATCCGATTCAAAGCTTGAACAAGGACGGGACAATAGTCGTTTGGATATTCTAAATAACAAAAATAGTCACTCTTATCAGACATAACATTTTGACTGCTGGAAGCTTAAAGTTGTTTTCTTTTAGGGTTGGAGTACTTTCAGGCCTATAATAGGATTGTGTATGTCTTTTGTCGCACCGGAGACTTATGCCTTTGTGTTCATGTGTCTGAATCACATTGAAGTTTGTAAGACGGAGATGAAGCTTTTGAAAACGTGAAACATTGATTGAACTGGTGGAATAATCCTGTCGCACGGTGATAGAGGAGACATCTATTTCTAGCATCCGGAGCTATTTTTATGTGCTGCGTTCATTGTTAATTCAGCCGAGCTGGAATCTGAACCAACCAAATGTCAAAAGGAAGGAAGGATTCACTCAGGTAAAGAATGATTTCTGGGCTCCAAGAGTAGATTCACAGATGAAGCATATTCGCTCTTTAACTGTGAGGAAGACGTCGGTACTTTATCACGGGATTTCATCAATTCCCTCTTCTTTCCCTCTTCATAGTAGACGCTTCATAGAAACTGCCAACCGTTTCTGACATATCAGTTTCTTACTAAGATGTTTTACCTCAACACTGAACAATTGTTCCAGAGTTCAAAAAGCACTGACACAACTTAAATTTGTCTCTAAGTATTGTTTAAAGAAAAGGACGGTCTGCAAGCAAATGGAGAGGTGATAGCCAATGTAGCAGGTAGCCAATGTCATTATCAAAGGCAGCCTTTATAGGAGGGATACACGTTAAGGTTATGGTCCAGTTGTGTCAGTAAGTCGTGACTCACATAAAGTGTCCGGTGTCATTGTTCCCGGCCATGGTTGAAGATTTAAGCTTTTGAACCAGGATCCGGATCACGTTGATGAAGATGACAATGTTGATCTGGAAGAGATACATGCACAATTACAGAATCCAAACATGCACAGACTGAGAGAAAAAAAAATATTTTAAGCAAGAAACATCTTTTTTTAAATTGCATATACGAAAAAAATTGCTGAGATATTAGCAATTGATCCTTCGTACATCCAAAGAGATATTGTTTAATTATAGCTCCGCAACAGGGATTGTGTTTGGTGTTTACGCAGCGTGTGGATGTAATAAGAACAAAGAGTGTTTGGAGGCTAGCTAGTCTTTTCCAAGGGATACAAATTGGCCAAGGAGCATTTCATTAGCTGGCTAGCTAATCAATATTGCATTTTGTTGCGTTTCCAATTCATTAGAAACCGTAGCACATCGGTTTAAAACAGATCAGCTAGAAACATTAAAAAGTCAGCAGGAGATGGTGTGAAATGAAGGGCTCAAAAATCCTATGAATTTCAATTTACTACTTTCCACTCACCAGCAGCGAGACTGTTATTGGTCCTTTAATAATCCACCAAATAGCAACATTGTCTGTGTCGTCCCAGCAACTGCAATTTAAAGCCAATTTCAATTAATTAAATTAATTATGAGAATATATAAGCTGCTTTGGTGCATATTGTGTGATAAATCGTACCCTTTGTCATCATAGAAGAATCTGGTCAACACCCAAAGTATGAGAACTGTTGATGGGAACCCTGCAACGTAAGAGCAGAGATTAATTATTGATACGCTGGATATGTGTCAAGTAAAATTAATCAAATGCTCAATCCCCAACTCGCATATGTACTGCATTTTTAATGAAAATGTTGTTCGGCATATAACACATCGTGTAAATGTATCTGTCTCCCAATTACATCTCCATGCCAGAAGAAAAAACAGACGCAGGATAAAAGCAGAAGAGAGAGAGTGCAAACCGGAAAGATGCTGATAAAACACATTCGAGCCACTGAGTGAGCGACAAAAAAAAAAAAACACACCCCGGTTTGCTTGTCAGGTTGTAAAAACACAGATATTTAGGTCCAGATTTTCCTTGGCAACAAGTGCATAGTTTTATGTTTGAATCAGGTTTATTAATGTGTTTTGTTGGTTCATATGCTTCCATGCATTATCATAACTATAACCACTTCCTCTTACAATAAGCAGACTTTAGTACAGAAAGCCCAGTATGACCTTTTAGAAATTTTGTTTTGCCAATCGTCAGTTCTGTTGGCTAAAAATGTCAGGCACTCTTGCTCCTCACTAAGAAATTCAGTGTCCTCCCAACATCAAACAGGTATGCTGCTGTTTCTCACCGTCACTGTTGCACTAAACACAACTGGTCAGGCTGTAGTATTGTACTGTTACATTTTGGTAACAGGACTGAAGTGATACAGTCTGTGGAATATCACTAGAAGCACCTGAGAGTACGGGCTTGAACAAGCAAAATATACAGCGAACAGATAGGGATGGTGAGACCATAGAAATCAGTTGACTGAGCAAAACAGGATAACGGGATAAAGGGAAAGCACTCAAAATATCCAGCTCAGCGAAGTAAAAGATAAGCGAGGGGAAACAAAGGGAGCGCCTAGGAAAAGAGCAGCCGCAATCGCTGCTCAGGAACAGCTATTGTGTAAATAAATATTGTCTGGAAATAGATTTCCAACCACTCAAATGTGACTGTGTAGTGAAATCACAAGACAGACCAACAACCTTCCAGTATCGTTCAATGCAATACAACAACACCACAAAAACGGGCTCAGGAGATCCTGCGATCCTGAGACGCATTTCTCATCAAGTGGTGAGTTTGATTTATTTTCTTTGTGATTTTATAAAAGGAAGTGAAGGCTATGGTCTCTTTCTGTTTCTCTCTCGCTCTCTCTCTCTTTCCTGGAGCTGTTCATGTTACTTTTATGACTAATTTATCACCTCAGAAACTGCAAAACTAGAGTACTGATCTGACCATACAACATTATCTTTGTCAGTTACCCAAAGAGAGCTGGACACATTCAATATCAAAATACCATCATAAAGTCAAAGTCGGTGCATCTGACAGTCAGGTGATGACTGTAAAATAAAAAAATGTGTCTTCTGTCCAAACACACTTTAAGAAGGTTTTCCCCTTCTCATCCCAGAGTAATATTATCGATAGCAATACAAAAGAAATCCCCCACTGAATGCTTGGCCTCCAACAAAAATCCTGCTACTGGGTGTTTAACATCTTCCCCTTAAATTGAGCGATTGAAAATGAATTGTGGGACGACTTCATCAGGTTAAGTGAAGATTGTGTGTATACATTCAATCATCACTTGTTCGTCCGTTATGGGCTTGAACGTCCTCAGACGACCTGGTCGGTCATCTCTACTCACCCCATCCAATCAGGATGTACCACCAGAAGTACTTCCTCTGAGAGACGAAGGTCAGGGCCAGCAGCGTCTGCAGATACATTCCCTCCACCAGCAACCAGAAGTAATTGGCCAGGATGCTGAACTGGAAGAACGCCACGGCTGACTTGCAGGCTGTCTAGAGAGGACACCGTGAAACAAAGTTACTACGGCCGGATGTGTCTATATATATATATATATATATATATATATATATATATATATATATATGAGGCCGTTCAGTAAAATATTAAAGTAGTTTAAATACTGTCTGTTCAGCAGCAAAGGAATTATTAACATAATAATATACTACATCTATCTTTTTCATATATTCCGTTATTATATTATGAATGCATAAAGCACTTTCAAATTGACATGTCATTTTAAGCATTAAGTCTGTGTACAAGTTACTGTGACAGTTGTTAAAACAAAGTTGGCTGATAACATGAAACAATATATTTTTTTATGTCACTAACTGTTAAATGTGGTATTTTTTCATGTATATTTATTATTTTTATGTACTGGCATTATACATACTTTTCTCACTTTAGATGTTTTGTAAAAATGGTGTATTTAAAAAATGTCAACTTTTCATCAGTTAAAAATAATTAAAAATTTGAATGGATTATTCAGCTTAGATGTGGGGTAATTTTCCCTTACAAATTAAGGGATTCTTCCCCTCTGTCCTGACATTCCTCTTTTCATTGGTCATTTAATTCAAATAGACAGCAGATGTGAGAATCTGCTTTATGATGGGATAATTATAGGCTAATAAGCGTGCTCACTGTGGACACGGAGCAGTGGTCCAGGGTCTCGTCAGCAAACAGCACGGTGTCCTTAATGAAAACAGCGCTGGCTCTCAGGACGAAGGAGGAGAACAGGTTGACGTGGATGTAGTTTCTAGTGCAGCGGAACTTCCTGAAAGAGGCACAAATACACATGTACACCAACAGTCCTACTAATAGATTCCCAATCCTCTAACAAAGGCTTTACACTCTTTATTGATCAGACAGTCGATCATGTGAATATCTGGATATTTGTGTCTGTTGGAGCATGTTACAGCTCTATACTCGTCTGTAAAGCTATTTAATTCTTGCTCGCTGCCCTTCTTAACACTCCAGTTAAGAATCTGAACTACATAACTGGCTGGTGAGTGAGCTACCTAGCTGTTGTGCCTTTTATTGCCCTTATTGTTCAGGGACATTGTGTGCTGCTGTGGTCTTACCTGAAGGCAGTGAACACCACTATGGCTGTGATGAGGGAGATGAGCGAGGTTGCGTAGCCCACAGTGTAAACCTGTCTGAACGTGTAGAGGTAACTCGTCTGCAGAGAGACAAAATTGTGATGCTGTCAAATGTACGAATGAGAAATAACTCGATGACTGAAATGTCACACGAAATGTCTGAAACAGTGGATCTGACGGAAGTGCAGTGGTACAGCACATTTATTTGATATATTTAGTTACTTTGCAGTTTTATAATACAAAATATAATCAACAAATATAATAATATATATTATCATAAGGGGGATTCACAAGATAACAGTGGATAAACTAGATACAAATTAGCCCCATGTTTAACAGCTGCAGCATTAAAATGACAGTAATTATTATCCAATCATTTTGTAAACATTATTCTGCATAATAACTTATTTTTAGTACTTTAAGTATAATCTGATGCTTATACTTTTGTACTTTTACTTGTAACACAGTATTTCTACACTGTTGTATTAATGCTTTTACTTCAATAAAACATCTGAGTACTGCTTCCTCTACTGCAGGATAGAATATAATCAATAACTAAAACTGATGAAAAGTTTAATACAGATACAAAGAGACATCAAAGTTTTAAACCTCTAACTTTGCTGTAGTTTGTCTTAGAGAATTATATCAAACACATTTGACTGTTGTCTTGGCTGTTTACATGTATTCTTGGAACAAAAGTATCACAAGTGCGTGTTGTCTTTGCACTCAAAGAGGTCTGAACTGAAAAGGAAGACGCGAGGGAGGAAGAGCAAAGAGGGAGCAGAAACAAAATGAATAATTAACTGATTGGCATGATTACAGCATCGTGTGCTACCTCAGATTCGGGCTCGCTGTCGTCGCTGAAAGCACAGGCCTCGTCGTAGGGTGGATACATTTCTGACCAGCCATGGACCGTACAGTTCCTGTAAACATACCCTGACGTGGGAGCAGACAGAAGGGGGGCATGAAGGGATTCAAACTGATTTCAAGTGATTCATCCACTGCAAATATTTTCCCCAAAACATCATACAACCTACTCAGAAGCTCAACCAATTTGTTCTTCTTCTTCTTAACCATCTTTATGGCTTAATTTTGTATGAACTTCTTGGGCTGTAGTATTAATTGTGCCGTGAAATGCTGCTGAAAATGGTTTCAAATGCCATTGGCCAAAAGTAACTACATTTACGCAAGTACTGTACTTTTAAAAGTACTTGTGGTATACTAGAGTATTCCTGTTTTAACTTGTACTTGGAACCCAGTAAAATTCTAAGGAAAATACTATATAAGTACTATTCTGAAACGGGTCATTCTCCATGATGAGATATTCTACTCTGGTACTTTAAGTATATTTTGATGCTAATACTTTTGTACATTTTTGAGCATAAGAAATAGTATTGTAAAATAGTGAAGTATCTCATATTCTAAATGATGTATTACATCGTTACAAGTTGTAATTCCTGTGCACATTCGGACTGCTACACTTGATATTTCCTCTCTTGCACCATTTCACTCCATTAGTGCTTTCAGTCAGAAACGTCCATTTGGAAACAGCAGGAGTCGGGAGAAGACTGAGCTGGATCGCTCCCTGCACTGCTGTGGTGTAGGATTGTACATGTGTGCCAGACATGCAGGCTTTAGCTGGACACAAACATGCATGGCAGTAGGTTGTTTTCCTCTATATTCTCTGAGCAAACAGGAAATAAACTACACTGCTGAAAGCAAAGACTCTGGTCCGTCTGAGTGATCTGAAATGCAGATCATCATTAGCCATGATTTCCATCAAGGTAAGAAGGGAAATAACATTATTCCTTAATGTTCCTGACCTTTCCTCCGTTAATGATGTATTATTATGTCAATTACTTCAAGACGACTGAGTACAAACAGTCCGACATCTTTGTATTTAGACTGGAAGACAAAGTTTCCCATATTTAAAACAAATTTTCTAGCTGTCCTTTAAACACTAATTTACAGATCCAAATAATTAATAATTGATTGTACTTATTACTGTTTCAAAAAGGATAATCACTAAATATAAAACCTCTTAAAACACTTTTATTCTCATGACTACATTATTCAGAATATGTCTCTCTTGGTGTTATTGGCACCATCTTTCTGGAAACACAAATCCTTCAACAGCCAAAGAGGAAGTCTGACTGTCAAATGTGAACTCTGCAGACAAGATTCCAAGTCTTTTCTCCTTCCAGAAACATCCCAGAGCATATATATATTCTTGCCAACAAACGTACATGAATAATTCATTGTGCTCCTTCATCAGTGCGACTCCAGCCTGCATTTGCGCAGCAGATTATACAGAACGGATAATTATACTTGGCTGTGGAGCAATGGGACTTCTACGTTAACTTTTTTTATTTTAACTACGCTACTGATTACATGACTGAAATTGAGTTATTCTTTTCTTTGTTTGTTGAGATTGTGATTAACATAGAAACCGACCTTGATTGCTGGAGAAATGCTGGAAGACCTCAGAGCAGGATTTGTTGACTACCTGCCCGACTTCAGCTGTCAGCCAGCAGCCGATCTCATCCCACTCTGTGTTACATCCTACGAACGCAGGCAGAGGGAGGAGCAGGGTCAGTCAGTAAGAATGATTAATAATAATAATAATAGCGATAAACTGCATTTACACAGCAAAGCAGACATCCTCATGCTTTCAGGCTTTGTTTAGGGTAACATTACTTGCCCAAGCTACATACATACCTGTGTCAAGAAACTCAATTACACTGTGTACAAAGAATGATAATGCATCAGTTGTTATTAGCAGCCAGTGGTGGTGAAAAAATATATAAATTAGCAATGGTAATTGCCATAATATGTACAGCATGTACGCATTTGCATAATATATTGTTTTGCTTCTTTCATATCTAATTCCTGCAAAGTGCTTCCTGTCAGTCCTGTGTCATCACATTAATATCAATTGAGTGGTTTTGTCTGCTGAACTAAAACTATCACTCACCTTTCTTCAGAAGTGAACATGGCAACAGGAAAACTACATCTAATTCTCTCGGTTCTTCAGGGCCCAGACTGTGAAGCCTCTGGGAAGTTTATTCTGTTAAACACTTTTCTGTTTTCTGAAATGTTGTGTTGCCTGTGGATTGCAATGTTGTCATTTGTTCCACCACTTTGGTTGCTGATATAAATATTTCGACAACAATTTTATGGATTTCCATGAAATTTTGTACAGTCAAGGTTCCCAGAGGATGAATCCGAAAGACTTTGGTAAGGTTGACATTTTTGTGGTTGTGGTTTTGAGTGAAATCTCTTGAGAACTATTTGATGGATTGCCATGAAATTTGTTTCACTGTCAGACATTCACATCTCCCTTCAGGAGATTCCCATCAGCCTCAGCTGTACTTTGTGTTTTGTGCTATTTAGTCTGACTCACAGGATGTAGTCTGGCGGTATAAGTCAGCAGCGTTTATTTCTTCGATACCAGAATGATGTGTGGAGTCAGACCTTTCTTTAGTGCTGACACAGTGCTGAGGAAATAGGTCTGGCTATGTGAGACTAAGTGCTATTTAATAAATGTTAGCGGGCTAACAAGCTAAACTAAGAAGGTTAACATGGTAAACAATATAGGCCTACTGCTAAACATCAACATGTTGCAATTTAGCATGCTGATGTTACCATTTAGCAAGTACAGCCTCACAGAGTTGCTGTGGCATGGCTGCACTGTTTGACATTTTTTTGAAATTTTTAGTTTTGCACACCAGGACAACCGCTGGATGATCAAAAGAATAGTTTCCGCTCATAATAAGGAGGAGCCAGTTTATGCATTCACATAAGCCGCTTAAAAAGACATAAGAAGATTCAGTACTATTTGTGCATTAGTCAAATGCTCCAGCTTCTCACATCGTTCCTGCCTTACATGCTCTATGCATGATGAGTTTCTCACAGACTCCCTGCTGTTACATTTAATTGAGAGGAAGCATGGAATATTTCAGCCCACCTCTGGTCTTTTATCGGCGCAAATCCACCCAAACCAACCACCGCGACTACAGTACTAGGGGATCTGATCACCAAGTCACATGTTTCTTCTCATGCAACCAAAGGAGGATATTTCTACTAATGAACTAATAGATCTATACAGCTGACAATCTTATCCACAGTCCTTGCCTTGCTTTGTTTCTGTAAATAGACTGCGGTAAAAGCATTTGCTTAATGTTACTCGCACCCCGGTTTTTCCATCAACTATCCTACATTTCCCAGATTCTCAATAAGCATGGCATTACTCACCGGTATATAATGGACTAATTCACATATCAATGAGGAGATGGTGTCATGAGGCGAGATGACAGGTTTGACAGGAGTGAACAAATGATATATATCAGTCATTGTGATAAACGTGGTGCTGCAAATATCTGCAGGCATCTCCATCCACAGTGGGAAAATTTTCAAAGCCTGTGATGATATCTTTTTTTTTTTTTTTCTAAGGCAGCAATACAAGGAAATAAGTTACAATTTACTGCTTTTTCCATTAAAATCAAATAAATAAATTAAATTTAACTCCTCCGGCGCGATAAGTTTAAAGCAACATGTAAAACTATGATTCTTATTCTTCTCACATAAGACGTCGGTGAACCACCTCTATGTGCTGTCATTTATTTCACCATGTGCATTTATCCATACATTTTGATTGGTGGCAAAGGTTTAATGGAATCAAAGCACAGTTAATAATAATGTCACGTACTCCAATATTTAAACCCCCTGTTATGTAAATTTAATTGAAATGCCTCACTCATCTACTGGAAGGTAATTTAACCGTCAAGATTTCTATTTTAACAAGACTAAAGTTTGCAGCGACGCTAGCAGGTCATGAACTAAAGAGATTGCTACACTGAGAACATGTAACAACACCATTTGGGTCCTAAGACCTTGAACCTTCTGTTCTTTGATTATGTTATCATCGAAAAATAATCAAAATTTAAAAACTGATCACAATTTAGAGTCCAGGTAATTTGAGCAATCCACTGTGGGTGTTGACATTAATCTGAGACAGAGCAGTGAATTACAGAAAGCAATCTGTCTGGGTGAAATATAGATTTTCTCTCTGTACCTTATTTCATTTGTACAAAGCCATGCGTATCTAATCCATTAGCCACTCTATCTGCTGTGTGTCCTTATCTCACAAACACAACCTGCATCCAATCAGGTAGTCTCACGAAAACGATGTCATCGCCAACGTCACTCTGGGAAGCGATAGGATGCAGTTATTCCCGGATCACCTGTGTTGTCAGGCTGAGTCAGACTCCTGAAGCCGAGGACCCAGGAGGGGCAGAGGGACTGTGTCAAAAAATGCACTTTCAGATCTCAGATCTGTCTTTTCATTCATTGTAAGCTCAATGAGTTGTTGCTTCTGGAGTGGTGTTATAAAATGTGGGGCTTTAACACAGTAGGTGGCTCTAGCACACCACCAAACACGCCACAACCTTGTATTTTACTTTACACTGCTTTCTTTACAGGATTTTGTGTTATTTATTCATTTACTTGATACTGTTATTGTATGTGTACTTTGCCTTTTCGCTCACCTGTAATAAATTAATCATTTGTGGCATTAGTTTTTATGAACCATCCCTGTATCAGGGAGCAGTGGGCTGCCCATGACAGGCGCCCGGGGAGCCGCTGGGGGGTCAGTGTCTTGCTAGTCGCCACCAAAACTTAATTAGAGTGAAGCAGAGACAGAGGGAAGGACAGATTTGTGAATGAATGAGTGAGTGTAAAGAGAGTCTTTCTGACTGAACTTCCGCTAAACTTCATTTACTAAGTTTTAAAAGCAACCCCTTAATCAATAATTGTATTTAAATGTTTCCTTTGTATACATTCCAAACTCATGTCAAAATGCTCAGTAGCGCCCATTGATCAAATGCACATAAGCTCATTATACAGTTTATGAATTAATATAAGTAATATGTATCAATGGAGGCCTATTCAGTCCAATTGTATTAATACCAAAGCAGCTGTAACTCCAGTATGGTGCTTATAAAGTGAACTTAAGCGCATTATGATGACATTTACATTTTAAGAGATATTGTTAGTTTTATATCACATTAGAATCTATTTAGATGCATTATTTATAACTGAACACCTGTATACAGTAAAAACTCAAATGACATTTTAAAATACTCTGTATCACACTTTAATTAACTGTACTTAAAGCCCCAATCATTCCCACTGCATCCAAAACTCAGACAACATATTCAGGTGTTTTATTGTTTGTATGATTAGAAAAGTCATCCACAACTTCTAACAAGTTTTTATTGGACCCATCCCTCATGTATATGGGCTCAGTAGTAGAGGCCTGCCCAAAATCTGCCAGAAGAGAATAACTGAACAGCTTCAGTCTGCACAAGAAAAAATATATATTTTTTTTTTTATTTCTTCTTGTTCCACTTTGCTCAGAAAACACCACAGATATATTCAATGTCATAGATTAGAAAATGAATTATTTGTTTGACAGAGCCAGAGCAGCGTGAAATTAAAGTATGAAATATTTACAACTATACGTGGACCACCTGAGGCTCTGGGGAGCTTGTGACCTCAAAGACAATATTTACAGAAGCCATTCAGAAGGGTTATGACAGAAAAAGCACATGCATAATCCATCAGTTCCTGGACCATTTTCACCGGCTTACTGGGAAACTTGAACTGAAATAATGCTAAGAACCAATCAAGTAGCGAACGCGGGTGTGGGCGTCATCGTTTCTAAACTTATCCGTTTTCGACCTTGCACACGAAAACGCAACCCGGAGTTTTCAAACTTATCCGTCCTCGGGAGCGTTTTCAAACTCCTCCATTTTCGGTGCTCGAAAACGCCGACGTAGTGTGGACGCTCAGTGTAAACGTAGCAAAACTTATGCCTTTTCAAATGGAAACGGAGTAGTGTGGACATTGCATGAGCGAGAGGCCTGCCTTTGTTTGGTGTTTGATTCTGTAAGCTTCCCTTTTCGTAAAATATTTAAAAGGATGATTTTAATAATGAAACTGAACTATGAGATATTTCTTCGAGCTCATAGTATTCAATTAAACAGTTGTTAAATAATTATGTTATTTCTTAGATTCTTCATGTTTGGTGAGGGACTAACACTTGGAGTGATCGCTCTTTGGCACATCAGCCAAGAAACAAGGTATACACAAGCAGAACAGAGATGTTTAAATAGGTTTTAGTCCCTTTAATACAATATTAACATAGTTCTTAACGAATATAGATTCCAGTCACCTGCATTAACATGATTCTTACTTAATCTATATACAAATATTTTGTGATAACTTCCTGTTTCTATGCATAACTCTAACCTCCCTGTTTTGGCCTTCTTTTGTGCATTGCCAATACAATCTATAGCAGTCTCTTGCTCCAGTTTATGCTGAGTTATCATCTGTTCAAATATAAAAGGCAAAATATCTGCTGTAAAAGGTTGCTTGTCATATTGAGTGTGAACTTGAAATGGTGGTGTGGCCACACTAAGCCTTGCTAAATATAAAGATGCATTTTTTTTCTCATCCACACTAAGCTATAATTAATCACATACAAAGCAGCTTTTCAAACAGCCCCCCTGTCAAGTGCATCTTGTTGAAATCCATTGTGGGTAAAATGATTAAGATTGGCAGTGAAGTACAGGTTTGAAAATAAAGGATGTGGTTACAAGCTCGCCGTTCACGATCTGTTGGCGGTTTAAATGAGGTACATCGTCTTTATACATAACTGTGCTAAAGTAATTGGAATCAAGGATTAAGAGATTTAGTTTTCCAATATTGTAGTTTCCTAAAGCCAGAATTGGATGTTTGCCTCTGAATTTTAGATTTGGTGAGAAGGGAAAATTCTCAAGCATATCGTAGGTGGGAGGATCGTCTTCAGGTTTGGGTGTAATCCTAATAGAAAAACACAAACATCTGTTGAAGAGAGGAAACAGCTTCTAAATAGTATTACAAATTTCACGGCAGAGACGGCACATTTACGGTGTGTCAGTTAAGGTTAAGGTGGCGGAAGAAGGGGGACAAAGGGCAACAGACACCATCCCCATCATTTACTTAGTGTGGCATTATTTGCCATCAATTCATGCCCGAATCACACACAGAGCATACAGGCAGCATCTGTAGTAGAAGGTACAGTGGCCAGGATGACAAATGGGACAGCTTATCCTGACACAATGACAGTATGTGGGCTCACATAGAAAATAAATAATGCATGTGGGTGTTTTGAATTGCAGCCTATGCCGGTTAGTTTTGGGTGTTTTTCTCCCAATTTGTCACTTGACATGAGCAATATTGTTATGAGGAAGGTGTTGGATGAGAGTAAAAATGCTGATTTACCATCTACTCTGCCAGAAATGAAGAAGATAGTGATGATTCAGCTTTTTAGCAATGTGGGCCTGTGGGTCTGTTGATCAGACAAGTCGGCCGGTCAAACGCTGAGGCGGCTGTTAAATGAATTGCCATAGAATTTGCTAAAAAGAATTCATGTTATACCTCTCTTAAAACCCCAAATGTGAACCTCATGGTGGTGTTAGAGGACGTCACGGAATCACTAAAGTCACAAGAATTGGCACCAAATTTCATGACACTATCCATCAGTCGAGTTATGTCAGTCTGGACCAAAGTGGTGGAGACCTACATCAAACCAAATGTGTCCAAGGAAGACGACAGTAAGTGGCTGAGTTTTGGTCAATAGCAACACGTTTCACAGCAGCATGCAGCATATGACGTCTAATTGGTTCCATTACCACCAGCAGTCAGTCACTGATGTCCGTCATTGTTTCACAAAGGTGAAATTTCAACTCTACATGACTCTCCAGCTCTGCATGACTACATGTCACCTGCGTGGTCGGCATCACACTGATGGACGCACAAACACACACACACACCCACTTCGACAGTGAAATTCATCAGCAGACATTTATCTGCATAATGAGCAGCCGAGGACAACTTTGCACCAAAGGGTTCACAGTCATCAGTAGTAATTAAGATCAGAGTAGCACGGAAATGTTAAAGTTCATTACTCTCGCGGAGGGGAGTTGCCAGGGTGTTGATGGTCTGGGGCAGTTTCTGATGAAGTGGAGAAAAGTGCGGCTTTCAGTGACACGGTTCAACATGGAGACACGCAGTGCAGCCCTCTGGGAGACTCCAGGTTCATTAGTATACAATGAAGTCAACGAGTCAGATTGGGAGGACAAACGGGTGAGGCCTCACCAGGAGGAACAGCAGGTGTCAGTGTGGTTATTAGATCAGTACGATGAAGAGTACATGATGTAATAACACGTGTCCATGCACATCTCAGTTACAGTCAGTCTCTGCAGTGTGCCTTTAAAACACACAATATATCGCCATATATTAACAAATGTGTGTTGCGTTGGGTTGTACCTGTAAAAATTGCGGTCTTGCTGTGTCTTTTTATAGCAAGTCTTCTCTGCTATTTCTGTTGCAGTTAAAGGCAGTTAGCCTTTCAGCGCCCACTGATCCACCTCACATACACCAGCGCTGCATGTAAGACTTTGCTCCTGCCATGCAAATACATAAATATCAACATGTAGGCAATAGACAAACAATAGATTTAGTTTTTTGGTATTTGTCATTTATAAAGTGATTGTGGTCATAACCCCTGAAGCAATTTGTTGTTAAATCGGTTTTGATCAACATCAATTGATCTTTTTAGACATTTTTCAAGCAAAAGTGTTTAAAATGCACTGGTCCCAGCTGGCCAAATGTAACTATTTTATTATTTTCTTTGACATAAATGATGGTAACCTTCATATTTGGGGGTTTGGAACAGTTTCAAGACAAGATTCCTTCAAGATTTTGAAGGAAATTTTTCACTTTTTTTCTAAACTTGGTAGACACTACATCATTAGTTGCAGCCCTACTGTCTCTTAACAACAATCCAGGTAAAATGCAGATAAATAAACATCAAAAAACGTTGTAATTTAAGTGCTATAGAAAGTCAAAGACAACTGGGCTTTTTCTTAGACTCCTACATTGTGACTGCATCACATGAATTGAGCTGCAAACTTTTCTCACAATGCCAAATCAACAGCAACAAACTGGCAGACAATATAACATCCTACAGAACGTTTAACTCACATATACATTTCCTTCCTGTGTGTTTATAATGTGCTGTTTTTTGCCCACCCTTTTTTTTTTAGTTTAGCCCACATGCCTGTCTATTAAAAAATCTCCCGCATGCAGTGCACCAAGTTCTTCCCAGTTATCTCACATAAAAAACACACACAAAGCTGCAGCAGCAGCAGCGGCAGCATCACACATGAACTCACCGCTGTGGTCGGTCTGGTTTTGCGCTTCGCTCCTCCTCGTCTGGCGGCAAACCTCCCGAGCCCTCAGGTGCTGAGAGATAATGGCGCAGTCCGGATGAATTGCTTCAGCCTGAAAATACGACACAATTTAAGTTATCTACAGTGGCTTAAAGCAAACACATGCACCTCAAGTCGATGCTCTTTGCTAGCTGTGAGTGAGTGGGTGATTAAACAAACATTATCAACAGACACACCTCTTTGGATTCAAAACTTATTTATTTTGTGATGCAGGTTTCAATAAATAAGCTTTATATTCCACCTATAAAACCCTCTCAGAAGATGCCCAAATTTGTCAAAGTCAAAAATAAATATAAACCTTTTTTATTTTCCCTGCTCATAACGCTCTTAAAGTTTTTAATTTGCCCCCAAAACATAACATAATTGATAAGAATAAAAGTCATTTCTTATCAACATGCAGTTTGCAAATGCATGTTCTTGAATGAGAATGTGTCCCAGATAGGAAAAATGTATAAATGATAAAAGAATTAACACTCACTATAGGCCTATACCACAGATGGAGATAAAATATGAGGAGCATGAAGGTCTCCTGTCGTCCCGGCAGCGCCTTAAAATACACTTCCATTTTCTTATCTGCCTTCTTCATATCCCTCATCGGATGATGATGATGATGATGTGAGCGTAAATCCGGGTGACTTGTTCCTCTGGTGCCTCCTAAAGATTGACTTCTTTGTGATAGCGTCGGTATGACAATACTCTGTCAACCTTAAAATAGATGAATCACCATATTCTCTCTGCCAGTAGCAAACTTGCAGGAGTGAAGAGCTTCTCTCTCTCTCTCTCTCTCTCTCTCTCTCTCTCTCTCTCTCTCTCT